TGAAGAGCAAATTCATCGATGCGTAGCTCTACCAATCCTGAACCATGCGAGGCAGTGGCGACAGCGGAGAGGGGAAAAAAACTTCACCTGAAGGCAGTTATCCTTGAATTATTCTTTGTTGCTATGGAGCTGAGCTACCTTCATGGTACCTAAAACCAACAATTAGCGTAAACTAAACTATAACTTAACTGGCTAGCCAGCTAATGCAGCTCCATGAGACAGGCCCCTTATCTTAACCCAGTTGAATTTGTTTGACTTGTCAACTTAAAAAATGTCTCTGCAACTCGTTCAATGGGTTTTGTGCAACCTTAATCCTATGCCAGGCTTGTCTTCCACTCCCCATCTCAGCTCTTCCTTGAGTCACAGCTACAAAATAGATTGACTACTTACAAAAGCTGCATTATATTTCTCAGCATAACAGTGGTGGATTTCAGAGACAGGGTGGCGTGTGTCAGAACTGTACTCAATTTCCGAGTGTGTTTGTAACACCTTGCACCTTGACCCTGTTGAATAAACATTCAAGCAGGCAACGGTCAGGCTGAATTACGCAAGGACTCAAGACCTCTGCCAAAAACACACCAGAATCTAATCCCTGCAAGGAGTTAATCATAAGCTATAGTGCCACGATGCAGAATTTGACCAAGTTAAATGTATTATCAGGACAACAATTGCTGTTAAGAGAGACGTGCTGCACCTATAAAGGTAATCCACATGCATACAGCTATCCGTGGATTAAAAACAAATACAATCTAAAGCCTCATTTTTACCCATCTGCTCAAATTTTGTGCTGCAAACATCATTGACAGCTTGAAACAAAAGCTATGTTATACTAAACGTGGGATTTTTGGCTAATGCTAGGTCATTTAGGCTCATCCCTGCTAAAAAATCCAACTTAAACCAGCCTAGGCTGGTTGGCTGGTTTTAGTTGGTTGACCAGCCTGGTTTTAGAGGGGTGTTGGCCATTTCCAGGCTGGTTTTCAGCCATTTACAGCCTGGTCTTAGCTGGTCAGGCTGAAAAATGACCAGCTTAATCCAGCTAAAACCAGCTTGACCAGCCTGGTTTAAGCTGGACATAGCTGGTTTTGGCTGGGCTCTCAGCCTGGCTAGGCTGGTCAAGCTGATTTTAGCTGGTCATCTCCCAGCCTGACCAGCTAAGACCAGGCTGGAAATGGCTGGAAACCAGCCTGGAAGTGGCCAAAACCCCTCTAAAACCAGCCTGGTCGACCAGCTAAAACCAGCCAACCAGCCTAGACTGGTTTAAGCTGGATTTTTCAGCAGGGATCTCAACACAATATCCAAGTTGCAGTGAAAGGCACAGCTTCATGTTCATCTCAGTGTTCAGCATCCTGATTATCACCTCTAAACCCCCCATCTATTCCAGATTAGACTACCATGAGCTCATTCCTGCTGGTAGTTCTACTATTCATAAATTCTTGTGTGCAGTTACATCTCCTACAGTTTTAATACCAGAGAGACAGTCATTTTAATTTTATATTGAACAAGTAGTGTCGTGTTCCTTTGTCTCTAGATTAGCAAAACGTTTGTTAATTTTTTATTTTCTCCACAATCCAACAGCTTTTGTGTGTTGTTTCTCTCTTAGTTCCTGTAGTTTCCACTGTGCAGCTGTCTATCTGATGCTTCTACTATGTGGCTTTAGTTGCTCTGCTGTGGCAATAATTTAGCTGGGTCTTATAGTTAATTAGGGTTAAATGTGGAGTTGGCCTAACCTTCGCTGCTAAAACACTAACTCTCCTGGGAAGGCTTTTCACAAGGATCGTGTTTGTTATGGGAACGTTTGGCCAAAAATATTGCAAGTTAAAATCAGCTTACTGGCCATTCATAAATCAATGAAAATGTCTGTAAAGCGTTTTTCTGTTGCTGTTATTTGACAATTACAATCAAATGTGCCAATCAGAAACAAAAGTGGCAAACTAAGCAACTCTAACAAAAAGTAAATCAATATATTATTTGATGTGAACAAGGTAACTTGTTCATTTTCAGGTAACTTTGTTCTACAAAAAAAACAGACCTTTATCAAATAGTTAGTAAAAGCTTTATATAGATATTTAATCTTTATTTTTTGGCCTTATTGAGTTAGTCTCCTGACCATATTAGATTAGATAAGATTAGATTAGATTCAACTTTATTGTCATTACACATGTACAAGTACAATGCAACGAAATGCAGTTTAGGTCTAACCAGCAGTGCAATAGCAGCAAGTGCAGGATACAGGAATAAGTTATAAAGTGCAGTTATAGAAAAACTATGGTGATATTTACAGATGGATGTACTGTCAACATTATATACAGGTTGTATTAGCTATGAACAGATTTACAATAAATGAATATATGTGCAGGTTGCTATTAATAATCAGTAGTGTGCAGATAGATTAACATGATTACAAGTGTATATGTTACAATATATGAATATGAATATATGTACAGGGATAGATAAACATGATTACAAGTGTATATGTTACAATATATGTACAGGTTGCTATTAATAATCAGTATATATATCCCCATTTAAAAAATACAATGTAGCATACAGTGGTGTAAAGTAACTAGTTACAAATACTCAAACTATTGTAATAGAGTAGATTTTCTCAGAAATTGTAATTTACTGAGTAGTTTTAAAAATGTGTACGTAGGCTTTCCCCTAAGTATGTTTTTAGCAGGGGCGGACTGGCCATCTGGAAATTCTGGCAAATGCCAGAAGGGCCGGACCAATTTTTAAATGTGGGCCGGTCAGTTTTTTTTTTTTTAATGTATTGTTTTTACGTGGAGGCAGCTTTTATATCTTGCTAGATGTTATATTATGATGATGATAATAATAATAATAATAATAATAATAGTAATAATAATAAATGTTAAGCATTTGGACCAATATGCGACGGCCGCCTGATTTCAAGATGGGCCGAGGTTACCGTAATCAAACCAATTACGTTACGTTAACAATTTTTAACGTAATCAAAATCTGGCAAGAATGTCATATTACAGCCTGATCTCACGAGAAAACGTAAGTATTTTACGTTTTGCCAGTTTAGTGGCTAATTCGTACGAGTTCTGTCGTACGAAATGGTACGATTTTAAAAAGGAGGCGTGGCACCTGACCCCACCCCTAACCCCAACCATCATTGGGGGACAAGCAAATCGTACTAAATTGTACGAATTAGATCGTACGAATTCATACGAAGTAGCCACTAAATGAGAAAGTTACAAATTGCCGTGAGATTGTGTTGCATATTATTTCACCATCTGTACACCAAAATAAATAGTGAATGTGCGTGTCCGTGGGTGGGGCTATGTCGGTGTGGTTATGTGGGCTGATGTGGCTACAGTGCCAGGGCTGAATTTTTGTCCCAGTCCGCCCCTGGTTTTTAGTGCTTTATCTGTAGTTTATTCCACTACTTTCCTTCAACCTGCAGTCACTACTTTATTTTTTATCGTTTATGGGGATTAGAAAAATCAGTCCTGCAATTCCTGTCCAATAAGATCACACTTAGAAGTTAAATCGCATCATAATGAACTACTTCAAGACATGAGTTTTAAATTTGCATGCATTAATTTTATTACAGTGCTGACACTGTCAGCAATTCATTCCTTTTCAGCTTAGTCCCTTTATTAATCCAGGGTCGCCTGAGCGGAATGAACCGCCAACTTATCTTGCACGTTTTTACGCAGCGGATGCCCTTCCTGCTGCAACCCATCTCTGGGAAACATCCACACACACACACTCATACACTATGGACAATTTTAGCCTACCCAATTCCGCATGTCTTTGGAAACCAGAGCACCCTAGAGAAAACCCACATGATCGCAGGGATAACATGCAAACTCCACACAGAAACGCCAACTGACCCAGCCGAGGATCGAACCAGCGACGTTCTTGCTGTAAGGCGACAGTTTTACCTACTGCGTCACCCATGGTCAGCCACTAAAGCTTTAAATCAAGCATCAACAATGTAAGAACAAACAAAATGGAGTCCAAGGATTCATTTATTTTTGCAAGCCTAACCGAGTGGGCTGGATTGCAGACAGACAGACAAACTGGGTTAGGGGTACACATTAAAGCAGCCTCCTTAGCAACTGAAATGCTGAATTATTCCAGACATCTGATGTAGTATGATCACTATCACTCTTGTTCAACATGTCCCTGACCTGTGCAAAGTCCAAAAGCACTAGTGTGTGTTGATTTAACAGCTCCAAGACAATTGAATACTCCTCTTTGTGCTGTCTCTTTTTAAAGTTGTTCAACTGAAAATTACAACACAGCCACAATCAAAAACTGATCATGTTATCACTTTATCAGCACATTTGCCACCATTGTATTTAAGATTGTGTTTGTATAGACTTTATCTGCATGTTTAAATGTTTGTTTTTAATTATTTTTTTATTGAACAATTGACAATTTGAAAATGAAAAAGAAAATGATAAAAAATAAATAAATGCATGTTTAATTGTTATCAAAGATCATTTCTTGAAATCATGTCTTCTGGCTTTCCAGTGTTGGCTTGCGGTCGGAAGGGCATCCGCTGCATAAAAAATGCTGGATAAGTTGGCGGTTCATTCCGCTGTGGCGACCCCGGAATAATAAAGGGACTAAGCCGAAAAGAAAATGAATGAATGATGAATGCCTTCTGGCCTTCCATATAACATCCCACATCCCTGCTAAAAAATCCACCTTAAACCAGCCTAGGCTGGTTTAAACTGGATTTTTCAGCAACATTGTAATCACTGCTAAAACAAATCAATGAGTAAATTTACCATACTGTACATACTGTTGTTTAACCGTCAAGATAAAGTTCCTGTCTTATTTTAGCAGATTAAAAAGGCGATTGTTGTTGTGGCATTACTGGCAGACAGATATCTACATTGACGTAAATGTACGTATTTTCTGCTATTCACGAACGTAGGGGCGGATTCGTTTCGTAACGCTAGACAAGGCGTCAGTCAGACAAGTAGAAGAAGAGTTGGGCACGTGCTTTCTGTTAGCAGCACAAACTGCGGAGGACACAACTGCATCTCCTATTTCACAAAACAAGCTCATAAAGTTACACGATGCCTGCTCAGATCATCTGCGGGAAAACCATCTCAGCGTAAGTTAATTCCTTTGCAAAGTTTTTTTTTTTACTTCAGGTTTCAAAACTTGGCTTTATATTCGTGATTAAATCTCGAAAGTATGGTTGACTGATTGGAAACGCTGTTGCTTATTTTTGTATTCTTTTGAAGCGAATTTCTTTTTTGTTTGTTTGTTTTGTCAGTGACCTCTGAACTCGAGTAGTTTTCATGATCACATTTTTATTACGTTTCAAGAGTAGCTGTCATGTAAATCAGTTCACAGCTGCACACACAAAAGATTATTTCTTAAACGTGTATGAATGTGTTTAGAATTCAGCATAGAAGTAAAGTTGGTTTTATATTCGGATTTTCAGACATTCCCCTTAATATCATTTCAGAAAAGTATTCATTGCAAATTTTAAATAGGGAAATCATATTAGCAGCCAATGACTATCAAAGTACAACATTGTTCATAGTCAAATAAACAGTGTTAATGTTGTTTTCAAGTCACACTTGCATGCTAATTCCGATCGAATATTCAAAGTAACATAGTAAACAATATATAGACTGCTAAATGAACTAATGTGTAAAAATATAACCAACTTTACCTCTATGAATTCAGCTGTTTTCCTAACATCATGTTTACTCACGAGCCATTTTCCTTTCAGTGCTCTTATATTTCTATGTTCTTTGATGTTGTTTACCTACTGTTGATTTAAAATGACATATTCGTATAGTGTAAAGTGTGTTGGTCTTGTAGTTTACATTTACTTCTTTATGCAAACTGGATATTTTAAATAATTTAACAGTGTACAAAGGAAAAATTACAATTTTTTTTATCCGTGAAGAAAAAAAAATCACAATTTTGTTTTAATTATATGCAAAGGTGCACTTCAAATCTTTTTGACATAAAATTTATCAAAAAAATCTAATTCAGTACATAAAAGATTCTCTTAATCTATTAATAACCTCAAAAATGTGTAGTAATGATATATAATTTAAGTTTTAAGGTCTAATTTCCCAAAGATTATCAGCTTTGTCAATTGTCATCATGTCCAAAAATGAAACGCTACAATGTGCAGAGATTATATAACCTTACAAGGATGGGTCCATTTCTTTGAGAAGCACACTGTTGTGTGTGAAAGCAGAGGATATGGATGAAAGATGACCAATGATGGTGTCTGTAGTTGTGGTTTATAATCTGTGTCTTGTGTTAAACCTTAAAGATGGCTGCGAAAAGATGGCTCCACTTTTAGACTGCTTTCATTCCCTCAGAGGAATCCCTGATGCCATTTTGAAGTGCGTTCTACTTCATCAAGTGAACAAGGGAAGCTTGCATCAACTAGGCATAGGATGATAACCGTTTTCAAGGTATAGCATAGTTTGCAAAAGTCAAGGTTTTAAAATTAAAATAAAACATTTTCTGCCATACCGTTGCTACGGTATATGGAATCAGATAAGTCTCAATAATAATTCACGCAAAAAGACACGATGGACACATGCGTAGCCAAATTCACGTGCATGAAATCAAATTCACGTGCGTAAAATATTTCTTTATATTCACAAAAAAATTTAACGTGCACAAAATAAAAATACACTTTCATAAAATACGTTTCACAAATGCAAAACACCATTTGCAAATGTATAAGAGTGTACAAAAAGTTTTGAATGTTTAAAACTTGCGAGTTCATCCTGAATGAGAATGTGCAAATCCTCTTTCACGTACGACTCCCCCTGGATACGTGTGTGTGTGTGTATTTTTGAGACTTTCCTGGCAGATTCAGGGCAACTCGCACCTTTCAGCCAATCAGATGAGAGCTGTAGTCAAGGACACCCACTCTGCGCACTTTTTGCGCAGACTGTTCCTCTCCAGCATGGCGAACGGAGTCGCCAGCAGTCGCACTTTTTTTTCATTCATTTATTTATTTATTTGACCATAGCCTCAGTCTTTTTATCCATTATTTTGCTGCAGCTCCGCTCTTCTTATTTATTGTCTCGCAGCCCCTTGAGCAAAATGTAGCCTGCAGGGTAATGATGATGATTAAGTATTATTCCAGCCACACAAGCATAGCAGTTCCGTTGTGGTCCAGCGGTCAGCACATTGCGTTACGATGCGCTTCGAATGAAGTTGGCGGTTCATTCCCCTGTGGCGACCAGAAAATGAATGAATCAATTGAAGTCCTAGGGTCACAAATGGACCTGAAAAACTGTTTTTGAAGAAGTTTTGAACTTCCCTAACGTCCCATTCACACGGGGCTTCAGCGTCACTGCTTGACTGAAGGCGTGTCTGAAGTTGGGGCAAACGCGATCATCAAAGCAGCGTCAGCCAATGAAATTCAGTCAGCAATAGGCCACTGTCTAGCTGGTGTATTTGCATACAGCAATCTGATTGGGTGACACTTCTATTGGCGCTTAAAAAGTTGAGCTAGTCCCAACTTCTGCAACGAGCAACGCCTCTGAAGCGGCACCGACGGATCCACAATGCAGTTCGGCAATGCCTGATGTCACCCATTCAAAGTGAATGGGAAGCGTTGATGCTGACGCCCAGTGTGAATGGGGCGTAAGTCACATCTTTTATAGAGAACAGTTTATGTCAGTGCATTCAGTGTTTCCTCTAGGATTTTTTTTTCCAGCTGTTGCGGCCAGCCATTTAAACAGATCTTCCAACATTTTATGACGTTATTTCAATGACCAGTGTCATGAGCGCAGTATTACAAGTCGACATTCATTCAACTTCTGGCACGCCCTCAAATATACGCTGCTCAATAGCAGATTTTCTGCTGAAATAAACACTGCTGAAGTGCGAGTTTTGAATTCTCACTGTATGTGTCTGCAGTCAGGTTCGAGAGAGGCTGAAGGAAGAGGTGGAGGAGATGAAAAAGACTCATCCCAACTTCGAGCCAGGCCTTGTTGTGTTACAGGTGAGTGGTGATACGTTATCTCTCTCTGAATAACAGTAAAACATTTTAGAAGCAGGGCTTCAACTTGACTTGCATGACTAGGGGCATTTAAAAATCGGGATAATTTCCTCTTTTCTCAATTTTTATTTGTGCCATTTTAGTCTTATGTGCCTTACATGTTTTTGGACTAATTGTCTGGTGTTGATGGGTTTTGTCTGTTATAGGTGGGAGACAGAGATGACTCAAACTTGTACATTAGCATGAAGCTAAAGGCTGCTGCCCAGGTAAAGCAACAATAACATGGTGATTCTGCAACTTTAATCTCTTAGCTCTATGCTCAGTACTGTATAGACAAGTTTCTGACTGGTCTTTGAAAGTAGCAAATTCAGTTTAATGTCACAAGACTTCACGCATGATCTAATTTAAAGGGTTGTGTCTCTTAAAGGGATAGTCAATGATAGTCAGGAAGTCAGTGATCGCATGTTCTTAGCTTTCTTCAATATTTCTTTATTTGTGTTCAACAGAAGAAAGAAACTCAATGATAGATTGATGGATGGATATTTAGATGGATATATTATCTGATGGATGGATAGATGTTTAAATAGATAGCTAGGTAGTTATATGTATGGTTGGATAGATATTTAAATAGATAGTTGGATGGATAGATGGTTAGATAGATAGCTAAATGGATGGTTGGATAGATTATTAGATGGATGGACGGTTAGATGGATGGTTAAATCGATTGTTTGATGAATGGAAGGTTGGATGGTTAAACAGATCAATAGATTGTTAGATAGACGGAAGGTTAGATGAAATGAAGGTTTAATGGTTGGATAGATATTTAGATGGATGGTTAGATGAATGGATGGATGGTTGGATAGATAGATATATGGATAGTTGGATGGATGGAGAGATTGTTTGATGGATGGATGGTTAGATGAATGGTTGGATGGATTAATTATTAGATGGATGGATGGATGGATGAATGATTGATGTATGGTTGGATAGATGGATGTATGGTTGGATAGATGAAGGGAAGGTTAAATGAATGGGTGGATGGTTAGATGGATGGTTGGATAGATATTTAGAGATATGGATGGGTGGATGGATGGTTAGATAGCTAGATGGATGGTTGGATAGATTGTTAAATGGATGGAAGGTTAGATGGATGGATGGTAAGACGGATAGATAGATGGATGGTTAGATGAAAGGAAGGTTTAATCGTTAGATAGATGGATATTTTGATTGATGGATGGTTATATGAAAGGGAGGTTGGGTAGATATTTGGATGGATGGAAGATAGATAGATAGATAGATAGATAGATAGATAGATAGATAGATAGATAGATAGATAGATAGATAGATAGATAGATAGATAGATAGATAGATAGATAGATAGATAGATAGATAGATAGATAGATAGATAGATAGATAGATGGATGGATGGATAGATAGGTGAATGGTTGGATGGTTGATTGCATGAATGAATGGATGGCTGGTTAGATGGACAGATAGATGGTTGGATGAATGGTTGGAAAGATTAATTATTAGATGGATGGATGGATGGATGGATGGATGGATGATTGATTGATTGATGAAAGGTTAGATGGATGGATGGTTAGATAGATAAAGGGAAGGTTAGATTGATGGGTGGATGGTTAGATGGATGGTTTGATAGATAGATATATGATTGGATGAACGGAGGGATGTTTAGATAGATAGATAGATAGATAGATAGATAGATAGATAGATAGATAGATTGGAAAAAGTAGTATAAATGTGAAACTGACTCCCTTTCAGATAGAAAAAATAAATAAATGAGTGAAATGTTTCATGGTGGAGTGATCTAAAGTAACAATAAAACTCGTATCAAAATGACTTTAATGAGCTTTCTCAATTGTAGATTGGGATCACTGCTGTACATATAAAGCTTCCAAAGACTGCGACCGAGACTGAGGTAGAGCAAATCACAAAGAGAGTGATTACCTGCTTAGTGTAGTGTTTTTGTTGAATTAAGATAAACTGTGTTGAACATTGGATAGGTTTTGCAGAGTGTGACTGAAGTCAACGAGAACTCCAAGATCCATGGGCTCATAGTCCAGCTGCCCCTCGACTCCATCCACACTATTAACACAGAAAGAGTCATCAATTCTGTGGCTCCAGAGAAAGATGTGGATGGGTACAGAAATATAATTCATTTTTAATCATTACTCTGTTACAATTCTGAGTTAATATGTCTTTTAAATGATTAAAGAGACTGATTTAAAGTGTGTTTGTTTGCTTTGCTTCAGTTTGACTAGCATCAATGCAGGGAAACTGGCACGTGGTGATCTTGGAGACTGTTTTATCCCATGTACTCCTAATGGATGTATGGAGCTCATCAAACAAACAGGTGAGTCAGGCACTTCAGACTAAACTCTGTTCAGATTACACAATTTTCTTTTGATATTTCAGTATTTCAGACAAGAAGCAAAGTGGGGGAGAGAGAGGGTAGGGACGGGAAATGTCCTCGAGCTGGGATTCGAACTCTGGACGCCCTGAAGTGCTACTGCACCATATGTCAGCACACTAACCACTAGGCTATTGTTTTTGCCGTTGTGTGCTATATGTCAACTCTTAGCGTCAGTCGCGTATTTTTCATTCTCCAATCAAAAGAAAACAGAGGCGGGGTTTCCGTTGAGGTGACAGCAGTATTTGTGCTGTCAAGATGACTTTGGAGACTTTTAAAGATTGAGGAGAGACTTTTAGTTGCTGTTTTGAGTTATCCGGAGCTGTTTGACTTTATAAATCTTGAATATCATAATATTATTAAATATTAAAAGTATATGAATATCAACAAGCACCACTTGCGCACAATATGCAGCTGATTCAGTCATGCCTAGTGTTGTGAATTTCTAAGACGAGCCAAAAACCAGGGAGAACTTTCGGGTATCTTCAAAGCAGAATCCTTTAATAAGAAGAACTCGACATCGCTGTGGCATCATCGAAAGAATTATGAACTAGTGCAGTCAAGCACTCAGTTTTAAACACATTTTTACAGACATTGATACATAGGGGTGGGGACAAACCTAAACAGAGCATGCAAATGAAGTGTTGTTGTCAGCAGGGTAAATTGCCTTTTCCCCCCTGCCCCAATCTCATCAGCATACAGGTACCCATTCACGATACATTTTAGCATGAAAACAAAGTTTGCAAATGACGTACTGGATTCAGAAGCCGTCCGGCCAGTTGAACCACTTGAAAGTGTTACTGTGCCATTTGTTAGAGAATAGACACAACTGTGCTTTGAAACTGACAATTTGCATTACTTTGGAGACATGAGACTGTGGCCCCGTTTACACTAGTGCGTTTTAATTTTAAAAAGGCGTTTTAGAATGAAAACGATCCGCGTCCACACTCGCGTTTTACCCAGCGTTTCTGAACTGCTCTCCATCCACACCAAAACGCTGACAACGCACATCACGTGACCACACACACACACTCGGGCAAGCGCTGCAGCCCATCTACCCAGATGAGAGCTGTGCTAGTCGGACTTCTCATCAAGCATCTCCCGCTGGATCTAATCTCACTATATTTATTAAACGGGATATTTCATTCATCTTGTTGTGTTTATCTAACTACATATTCCCTGACTTTGGTCATTGGAATCTATTACTTGTTCACAGGTAACGTGTTTTGGCTGAGCGCAAAGATAAGTTAATGATTAATGTAACCACGTAGCCTACATTCTGCATATTGACTGATCGCTTGCCTTTATTTCCTATAATGTATAAACTTATTGTATGTTATACTTTTATAATGGCCATTATCGCTTATTAAAACTGATATTCAGCAAAAGAGAGGGTGTGTTTCGTATTTTCACTGAAATTGAAAGGAGGCAGTTGTTATAGGCTCCGTTTAGTTATAAATATCCACACAGTGAAGATGACGCTCATAAATGCAGCACGACGCCTCAAAATTTCTGCTGTCTATTAAGTTGCTAATATTAAAATAAAAATAGGCAGTTCCTTAAATCATGTTTACATTTTATTGTTGAGAAAGTGAGCGTAGCCAGGGTGATGTGAATGAAGTTATGAAGTACACTGTTCCCTTTAAAGATTTACCTGTGTCCTCGGTAGTCTGTTTTCCATATCAAACTGAGAAGAAGAGACTGCAGCCTTGATCAAACTTGTGAAGTCTGAACTTACAAGAAGAGGATGCAGGACTGAACTGTGTGTGTTAGGCTACTTAATGTTGAGGAAAAGCTCCAATCAGAGAGGCGAATGTCTGCAGCCCCGCCTCCGGTTTCAGATGTCTCCGTTTTCCATCATCCACACTGAGACGGAGCAGCAGCGTTTCAGAATGAAAACGGCCTCTCCAGCGTTTTCGAAACGCTCGAGAACTCCGGCATAGTGTGGACCGACGGCGTAACCGTAGCAAAACTTACGTGTTTTCAAACTAAAATGCATTAGTGTAAACAGGGCCTGTGTTTCACGTATAGGCTCCCTCAGAATGTATTTTACAATGAAATGTATATATATTTAAAGAAATTTGTAAACTTTCACTAGCGACATAAAAAGCGCACCACACTTCTTCTTTTCTTGTTAACAAAGGCAGCGTGGTGCGTCTCGCATATTTATCAGGGAAAAGCGCATTCGGTGTGATTGACCCCTTATTCTTCTTACAATTCTCTAGCATTTATTAAAACCCCCAAGTAAAACATTCGATGTGTGGAAAATATGCTCTTCAGATCTTCTTGTTCCTTTCATTCAGCACAGATCCAAGTGTCACTTCCACAGTATACACTGTACAGCTCACTTTAAAATAGTCTAGGGTGTTTCTGAACTATTATTCTGGACTACTACTGGAAATGCAGATACAGTTTCTTTAGTCCGTGATGCACAAAAGGAGATAGACCATGTTAGCTCCTTTCCATCAAGTGAAAATCAATGTGGTCTTCAGTTTTATACCCTGGAAAGTTCATGGTGTATAATTAATCCATACAGCTCCAACCAAAATCTTGTGAACTGATAAACTTACTTTGGGATATTGTATACTTGTGTTGATTATCCAAAGCCAATATGGCTGCATTTGAAACCTGTTGCCTTTTAGGTCAATGACTGCAAGTTACTCAAGAACTGATGCGGTTTCATGTTATTTATGGGTTCAACATATTCTATTTGTGCTTTGTATATATGAGTTAGTCACCGATTTCAGGAGATTTGAGAGAAAACGTTAGCTTTTTTCAAGCATACCTTTAGAAGAAGACTTGGATTTGCAAGGACTAATGTTACTCAACATCTTTGTCCATTTTTGTCAAAGACAGATTCTTTAAACATCACTTTTAAGATCCATAGGAGTGTTTTGCATTAAAGAGCCCATATTATACATGAAATAGGGTCATATCTTGGTTGTAAGGGTCTCCAACAACAGTTTAATATGCATGCAAGGTCAAAAAACACTTTCATGGTCTTATAATCTGCATTTATTTTTACCTAATTATTCCAGCGACTCCCGTATGAATCGTCCAGTGATTCATTTGTTCCCAAACCCCTCCTTAGCGCGAAGCTAATCTGCGCTGATTGGACCAATGACAGTCTGTCGCGATTGGTCGACTGCCTTCAGTCAGAGAGTGAAATGCCCAACAGCTAATCAGCAATATAAGAGTAATCACACTTCATACACGCTCGATAGTGTAGGCGTGGATTTTAGCTGCCAGTGGGTGAATGTAAATACAGAGATGGACTTGAAAATACAGACGACTAACTATTTTATTGAGCAAAAACTCCAAAAACTGTTGAGGAGATCTTTTAGCTTGTCTCACTCTGCTCTTTTCACAGACACACACACACACATATTGCACACACACACACAAACACTTTACCCTGCTCCGGACGACAACGCGCGCACAAACACACACACACACACACCTCCGGACGACAGCGCGCACACACACACACACACACACAGACACACACACTACCCTCCTCCACGGAGCTCCGTAAACAAAGCAGCACGCGTCGCGTTTTAAACGTGGCTTTGCACGCGATATGAGAATATAGCGAGTTAACCTGATACAGTAGACGCGGTTACAAGTAACAAATCACAACTAAATACATTTGCAAGCTAGAGTCAACGAGGCAACTTTAATGGTCCCACTTTATATTGTGGCCTTAACTAATATGTACTTACATAGGATTTAATAGTTTGTTACAATGTACTTATTGTGTAAATACATGTATTTACTGTGTACTTATGCTTGATTAAATACATGTATGTAATTACATCTGTAGTTAACTTTTGTAATTACATTTGTAAATACACTGTTGACCATCCCTTACACCTTAACCCACCCTTAAACCTACCCATGCCACCAAACCTGTCCATAACCCAACCTCTATCCCAACTCAAAAGCACCACAAGTGTTCTCAAATACAGTATAAACACAGTAAGTACATTGTATTTATTTTTTGATGCAAGTACATAGTAGTTAAGTACACTTAATATAAAGTGGGACCACTTTAATCGCACGTACTTACACTTGAGAAATGGAGGAAGAAACCCATCCTGACATGTCCATAAGTAAATTACTCTTTACGGATCCTTCCTTAAACAAACGCAGATGAAGTATTCTTTATAGCATGTAGTTTCCAACTGCTTGGCTATAATGCTGAAGTTTCATCTTTGGGTAGAGACTCAATAATATCCATCTGCAGTGTGACTTCAATCAACCGGCATGTTTGTGTGTGTGTGTGTGTGTGTGTGTGTGTGTGTGTGTTTGTGTGTGTGTGTGGATATCTGTGTCAGAGGGCGGGGCCGCAGGTTTCAAATCTCCCGGGTTTGCGCGTGCACGTGAATAACTTGGTTTCGTTCGTACATCATGGCGAAACACCTAATGACTCGGTGTCAAGGCGACTCGTTTGAAGCACTATGAGTCGACTCTTTTATAAATGAATCAACAGTTTTAAACACTGTACTCTTACAGATTTAAGCCTTAGCTGGATACTTCACTTCACTTAGAGCTCTTACACACACTACATGAAAGGGCATTTTCAAAAACCCATAATATGGGCTCTTAAAAGGAATTCAAAAATGAACATTTACTCACACTCAAGTGGTTTCAAACCTTCATGAGTTTCTTTCTTTGGTTGAACATAAAAGAAGATCATTTGAATAAAGCTGAAAATCTTTAATCTAAACTTTAAAGCTGGGGACCATTGACTTGCATAGTACAAAAAAACAAATACTATAGAACCCAGCGGTCCCCAGCTTTCTTCCAAATATCTTCACATAAGAAAGTGAAACAGGTTTGGAACAAGTTGGAACAAGTCAGCGTCAACGCTTCCCATTCACTTTGAATTGGTGACGTCAGGTGTTGCCAAACTGCATTGTGAATCCGTCGGCGCTGCTTCAGAGGCGTTGCTCACTGCAGAAGTTGGCACTAGCTAACTAAGCGCCGACGAAAGCGTCAGCCAATCAGATCGCTGTATGCAAATACACCATCTAGAAAGTGGCCTATTGCTGACTGAATTTTATTGGCTGACACTGCTATGACGATCACGTCAACCCCAACTTCAGACATGCCTTCAGTCGAGCGTTGACGCCGAAGCCCTGTGTGAATTTGGCGTTAAGGTTGTGTAAATGATGAAAGTCATCATTTTTGGGTGAACTATCTCTTTAACTGAACAGATTAGTGTGTGTGTTTGTGTGTGTGTGTGTGTTTTATAAATGTAAATCAAATTAAATTTGAGTATTTCTACTGACCTTCCTCATTGTGTTGTATTTAGGTGTGTCTTTGGCAGGAAAGAGGGCTGTGGTTATCGGACGCAGTAAGATTGTTGGCGCACCAATGCATGATCTTCTCCTTTGGAATCACGCAACTGTAACAACCTGTCATTCAAAGACTGCAGACTTGGTCTCTGAGGTACAGCGCTCCAGACAATTATTTACACAACTTTCAGGATTAAAAAAGTCAAACTACATATGCACGCAGTGGAATCTGAGGATGTTATGGCACAGCTACACTTTAATGGTGTTTGATGCAATGAATAAGATCACCTGAGCTGGGGTCCGTTCTTCGTACGTGGATTACTCAGTTAGCTGGATTTGGATATTGACGATTTGACACGATCCAGGATCGTTTCATTCTTCAAAGCTGATCCGAGAGTTGTTGTCATAGCAACAGTACTGCTAGGTCAAACCTGATCGGGTGCAGGTTCAATTTATATAAACAGGATTAGATCGGCTCAGTTCAAACAAAGATAATACTGAAAGTATGTTCCGAATTCTGATATTTTCTTACAGTAGTATATATATATATAAAGTTATAGTCATTAATAAAATAAATAAAGTATATAATACATATTAATAAAACTTAAGCAATCTGCACCCTCGAAATGAAAGTACAAAGACTGCCACCTGGTGGTGCAAAGAGAAAACTTATTGATATGAACTTTTTCAGATCGCTTTAGTACAAATTGTGTATAATAGAAATGCGTTTGAAACATGTTTTGATAGTTTATATGCCGGTGATTTGATGCTTCACAAAAGTTGCAGACGCCTTTACCAAACCTAAATGCTTTTGTAAACAACCAGTTATTCTTTACACCGATTAAAAAATGGCTACTATAATAAAGAAAATCTTTTCTAAATGTGGAACTAAATACATTGATATGCATTGAAATACATGATGAATACACTTGACAGATGAAAGTATAAAGCCTGCAGCTCACAACAAATGTGGAAGGTTATTGCGTGTCATATTAAACAAGCCGTTTACTGCTAATTTGATGTAATTTTGCTCACATGGATAATTGAATATTAATCAGATGATGTCATTACGCTGCTGTGCCGTCAGCCAATCGTTGCATTGCTGATAATGATTTCGAGGATCGATAGATCTGTCCTTCATAACACACGCAGCGATCTCAGATCAGTTTATCCAGACATTCTAATCTGATTCGCAAACTTGTTTGAAGAACCAAATTAGCGAGAGATCAGTTATCAAGATTGAAAGATCCAGGATCTGCCAAAACATCTTAGATCATTTAAGCGAGGTACGAAGAACAGACCCCTGGTCTGAGAGCAGTTCCCCCATCACAGTGGTCAGGTGGATGATAAATAAGGAACACATTGACAAACCAAATAACATATTCGAATGGTGTCTTAACTTTATAACCGGAAAGGACAGAAATGGCAAAAGATATGTCAGCATATTCTGTCTGGCTCTGCATATGTTACAGATGTTGTTTATTTGCTGTAGGTAGGAAAGGCAGACATCCTGGTGACTGGGATTGGCAAACCAGAGATGGTGCATGGAGATTGGCTGAAGACTGGTGCTGTGGTCATTGACTGTGGAATTAACACTATCGCAGGTGCTCTTTACATTCAACTCAATTCATTTTTTTAACTTATTTTTATACCACTTTTTTACATTGTTGAAGCAGCTTAACCAAAATGCAGAATAGAAGCATAACAGTATCTGAGAATGTGGAGAAATCCAGCAAATCAGTCTGGCAGAAGAGTAGTGTTAGAATGCTGCTGTAGCATTACTTCAGTCAGTCTTTATTCATTTCCTGAAGGCAATTTGGTTGCAACTTACAAGCAAGTCACACTCAATATACAAAAGTACATCATACAATACAAATTCTACCCAAAGTTTAAAAACTTTACATCTAATTGGATGAATAAAAGTTTAAAACGATTTGTTTTACTAAAAGGAGTTCTGTACGAATACCAGAAGGGAGAAGATAAAACTCGTGGTGCATAGGATGGGAATCATCTAACAGAATACTCTGAGCTTTACTTAAAACATGACTATGGTATAACTGAGCCATGGTCATCTGTTTTCTCCCTGTTATTTTTCCTCCTAGGTTCACAATTTTCTCCAAACAACTCTTATTTTTCACAGTTAGAGAATTGAACCTACATAGCAAAGAAAAAGATAACAGTGACTGAATGTATGAACTGTAAAACATGCACATGAGTGATTTATCTATACCAAAAGATCTCAATTTCTGTAAACAGTATAATCTTTGTTGCTTAGTTGAATGAAAACTGCTTCAGGTTAGTACAAATGTCATTGTTGAAGTTTTTTTTTTTTTTTTTAAAGTGAACAGATTAATTCAGTTCACTTTAACACTTTAGTCACTGCTGAAGGACAATCATCTGAAAAGCAGCCAAAACCAAGCAAACCAGAGGTGACAGGGAAAAGTTACAAAGATATTATATTTCAACTAAATTTATGTATTTCTTGCAATTTTGAGCTCAATGAATTAATAACAAAAGATTAATTTTATGAAAAGTGTTAACTGAAGATTAATCAATAATAATTAACTTTAATCCAACAGAGCATGAGTTTAAGGGTGCTTTCACACCTGCCTTATTTAGTTCGATTGAATCGCACTAGAGTTCGTTTCCCCTTTTGGTGCGGTTCGTTTGGGCAGGTGAGAATGCAGCAATCGTAATCAAGTGCGCACCAAAAGCGGACCAAATAAGCGTACCGAGACCTGCTTGAAGAGGTGGTCTCGGTACGCTTCCAAACGAACAATGGAGCGGTTCGTTTGTGGTGAGAATATGATCCGAACTAAAACAGGTCCAACCACAAAAAGTACTGCGCGTTTTGGACTAATTCAGCTGATGTAGGCTGATGCGCTGTGCATTATGGGATATGGAGGAAAAATATTTGTTGACAGCTCTTTACCAACAGAGAGAGAGAGGGGAAACATTACCTGAAGGATCGTTGGTAATATTTCCGCAAGATGACCATGTTGCAGTTTAGCTAAATTAATTCACGCCTCTTCCTGAAGTGACGAGCGATGCATTAAACACTGTTTTCCAGCCGCGGCTGCGCTTCATTTTCGTAATGTATAGTTTGTCTAAAGCAGCCAGCGCAGTCGTCCCTCCAGAGTAAAAGGTTTTGTTTACCTGCGGGAGTTCATTGGCATTTTCCCGCACGTGAATTCTGACCAATCAATAAGCAGTTTAGGAAATATGTTCAACAACATCTGGCCAATGAGAGATGTGGATTTTGTCAGATGACTGCATTTTGGTTCGTTTCAACTGGTTCAGACCAAAGCCAGCAGTGTGGTGTGAAAACGATCCAAAGGCGGCAGAAGATGCAACAATGTATCATTTATTACCCTTGGTCCGGACCAAATGAAGTGAACTACAGATGTGAAAGCACCCTAAAACATTAAATATTGTGCAGCATTACAGATCTATGAGAGAAAACCTTTATTTTCATTCAATGTGTAGAACTACTTTAGTGTATTTGCCACACTGTTGAGCCTCAGGCTTCCAGTTGTTTAAGACTATTAACATTCTTTATCCAGGCACATGGTCGCATATACAGGCACTTGGCCAATTTGATGTCAATATATAGTCCAGTCAAATCTGCTTGTCAAGTGTTCTGGCACTGTACTGGTAATAACAAATCTCAGGAGTAATATTGTGGTTATTATATTAATGAAAACTAAGAAAAGCTATTGGTAAAAAAAAAAAAACTAAATATAAACAGTTTTGTTAACTGAAAACATACAAAATTCACAAAAAAAAAAAAAAAAAAAAAAAAACAAAACAATACCAGCAACAGTCACTGAAATAAAATAATAGTTAGCGATAATAAATAATTTTTTCAGAATCAGTAAGCACTCATTCTGTGGTGGAAACTCTGACCTGAAAGTATCATTGAAGTACCTTTAGCCATGAATACATACAAGAAACTTGTTCTACCTTCATTTGCCAAAACAAATGTAACTAGGCATGGTTAATCACACTTACAGTATCTTCAATATGAAAAATATTCTCAGAATTTTTTAGATTTTTTTTTTTTACTTTTATTCATTGCATTGATCTGGTTTTGGATTCCGTGTTTGTTCAAACAAATAGTTTTATTACTCAGAGGTTTGCACAAAAGTTAATATAAGTTGTGCACACACTAAACTTTGCTCTGGGCGACATTGGATATGTTCTGTTGGCTCTGTTAGGGCTGGGACACACCAAGCCAGTGGTCAGTCAATGGGCTTCATCAATCGTAGTTGGTTTGGTGTGTTCCACACAGCAGATTAACATCAGATCACGTTGGCCTGATTCAACATCGGACCTTCAACTGAAGAGAATGTTCTGACTTGTTATTCAGCAACCAATCAGAGCACAAGTGTGATGTAGTGAGGAATGACATAGCAAGTAAACAATTCAAGTCTAGAAGGAACACAAAAACACTGGCTGTAATCCCAAATATCTCCAAACAATTGGATTATTAGACTCGGAGATATTTGCACAAGCGAATCCCTTCGTGGTTGGTGACAGTTATTTTGTTAATAGTACAACGCTGCTTTGTTTACGTTTTGTGCGTGGAAGTCGCAGTCGAAAGTTCAGTTTCTCTTTGCAGAATGAGAAAGCACACTACTGCCCCCCTATGGAGCAGAAAGATATGTCCTCTTGTGCAGGCACAGAACGCAGCTCATTTGTCGACTTTCATCCATTTGGTGTGTTCACGCGCAGCTTTTTCCAACAAGAGTCGACAGCACAGTTGGGTTTTGTTGGTGCTAGTTGTTTGTCGTTGGCTTGGTGTGTCCTGGACCTTAAACTACTATTACGAAAAGTAAAACTAAAATTGATTTCTATAAATAGAAAATAGAAAAGTGTTAACAAAAGCGAACACAAAACTAAAACTATTGATGAATCAAAGTGACATAGCAAGTAAAAAATTCAAGTCTAGAAGGAACACAAAAACACTGGCTGTAATCCCAAATATCTCCAAACAATTGGATTATTAGACTCGGAGATATTTGCACAAGCGAATCCCTTCGTGGTTGGTGACAGTTATTGTGATAATGGTACAACGCTGCTTTGTTTACGTTTTGTGCGTGGAAGTCGCGGTCGAAAGTTCAGTTTCTCTTTGCAGAATGAGAAAGCACACTACTGCCCCCCTGTGGAGCAGAAAGATATGTCCTCTTGTGCAGGCACTGAACGCAGCTCATTTGTCGACTTTCATTCATTTGGTGTGTTCACGCGCAGCTTTTTCCAACGAGAGTCGACAGCACAGTTGGGTTTTGTTGGTGCTAGTTGTTTGTCGTTGGCTTGGTGTGTCCTGGACCTCAAACTACTATTACGAAAAGTAAAACTAAAATTGATTTCTGTAAATAGAAAATAGAAAAGTGTTAACAAAAGCGAACACAAAACTAAAACTATTGATGAATCAAAGTGACATAGCAAGTAAACAATTCAAGTCTAGAAGGAACACAAAAACACTGGCTGTAATCCCAAATATCTCCAAACAATTGGATTATTAGACTCGGAGATATTTGCACAAGCGAATCCCTTCGTGGTTGGTGACAGTTATTGTGATAATAGTACAACGCTGCTTTGTTTACGTTTTGTGCGTGGAAGTCGCGGTCGAAAGTTCAGTTTCTCTTTGCAGAATGAGAAAGCACACTACTGCCCCCCTGTGGAGCAGAAAGATATGTCCTCTTGTGCAGGCACAGAACGCAGCTCATTTGTCGACTTTCATCCATTTGGTGTGTTCACGCGCAGCTTTTTCCAACGAGAGTCGACAGCACAGTTGGGTTTTGTTGGTGCTAGTTGTTTGTCGTTGGCTTGGTGTGTCCTGGACCTCAAACTACTATTACGAAAAGTAAAACTAAAATTGATTTCTGTAAATCGAAAATAGAAAAATGTTAACAAAAGCGAACACAAAACTAAAACTATTGATAAATCAAACTGAAATAAACTGAACAGCAAGTTTAAAAATAGAATTGAAATGAAAGATAAAAATTATAATAAAAGATAAACTATAATAACCGTGGTACAGATGATAATATACATAATTCATGTTCCCATTTAGATATGCTTAGCGTTAATAGCAGGTTTGGCATGTCCCGGGAGAGAATCCTGAGTTTGGAGATAAATGAACCCAAGGCCTGGTCAATAAACATATAAGGGGATCCGAGATCAGGTAGGTCTCGAGAGCTCCCCCTAGAAAAGGGAGGGGAAAAAGCCGATTAATTTATTGTAAGCTTTGATCAATCTGATTGGATTATTACTGATTACAGATGAGCAGCCAGTCGTGTTCAAACATATATCATGTGCTCCTCTCGCAATTATTTTAAGAAACTTCTCTAAGTTTTCTTTTTCTTTTATCCTCAGATAGTAGCAGGCCAAGTGGGAAGAGAGTTGTTGGAGACGTTCACTATGACTCTGCCAAAGATCGAGCTGCGTTTATCACTCCTGTGCCTGGAGGAGTTGGCCCAATGACTGTAGCCATGCTCATGAAGGTACATTTATTCCTGTTTCTTTTGAAGATATCTTTACGCTCACAGCAGCACATCTGCGTTTAGCACACTAATGGCCAGACTCACAGCTTGCTTTAGTGCACATACTCTTTTACATTTTAAAAGATACTTGTCAAGGTTTATTGAAGACATGGAACAACGACAGGTTTGAAGTAGGCCAGTCAATATGGCTGAAAACCCCAATTCAATTTTCTTTCTTAAATTATACTTAATTTCTATAATATTTAACATTCTAGAGAAAAGTACTGTACTGTTTTCTATGCCCTCAAGATGGAGTAAGCGAGCAAATTAAGCAAATCGAAACTAAATTAAAGATTGCATTAGGGTTGTAACGGTATGAATTTTTTACGGTATGATAATCGTCTAAAACAATACCACGGTTTGACGGTTTCGCGGTATACGGTATGTTACAAATGTTACAAAATAATAGAACAGTGAAGCAAATTTGACTTTTTCCAAATAATATATTTTCAGTTACTATAAACAACACCACTTACAATGAACAAATGAAAAAAATAAGAAAATAATAAATAATGTGTCAAAGTCCAAATAAAGTCCAAATAAACATGGTGCAAATCCTCAGTAAAAAATAGATATAAATATTTACTATACTATAAATAGTTACATAACGAAACTAGATTCAATATGGAACATCCTTAGGTTTTATGTGCTAGCATGGATATGGTTGTCTGTGGATATGGATTTGGATATGGTTGTCTGCAATGCAGACAAACAGCTGCACCTTCATTTGCGTCTTTTGAAAACAGCAAGAGCAGCAGTTCGTCTTTGCTGTGTCACTGTTTTGTCATGTTTCTGTGCTGCTGTGCATGCAAAAGTACTTAGTATGAGAATTATTTCATGCAAAACTTTTTTTTGCGTTTTATTTAGCTGCGCATAAATGTATGCCTTTCTCTCATTCCGTGTTGTTCAAAAAGCTCATGTTGGTCCACAAACAAAAGCGAAACCTATGCTTATTGGTTGTGATATAGCGAGTTTGAACCAATCTGGGCATGGAGGAGGGACAATGCATCAATGTATCATGTCTGGTTTGTCCGGAGACACAGTGACGAGCGTTTCTTTGTCAAATCAGCATTGTCAAATTTTGATGACGTAACCGCACTGATTATGCCAATCTTTGAATTGTATGAATCGGATCAGCGGATCAAAAGTTATTAAACATTTAAGAGCAATACTTATTTTTAGCCGCGGGCGGCTGTCTCAGTCTTTAAGGGTTAAAACCGTTGATATGCAATTGTTCATGGTATGATAATCGTGCACGTTCAAATCGTGGTAGACCGTCATACCGGTATATTGTTACAACCCTAGATTGCATCTTTTATTAAAATAAATAGATACCCACTTTTTAAAGTGCATAAACTTTCAAACAACTGTTCTTAAATAAAACATAATTTCCTTAATGGGCATCTAAGGGAAATTAGGAATAATGTACACTGAGTACAAAACACTTCTAGCGAGGTTCAAGAGACGTTATTTACATTTAGGAAAACTCCAAATTCCAGGTCGTCAGGAACACAGCATAGGTTATAAGCCATAATAACCATGTTGGTTACATCATCAATATGCATCTCGTGTCTTGACATACCAAGACAATCAAATGTGTAAACAAAGGGGAGTCAGGTGACAATGGAGTGAGTATCCACGTGCAGCTTTATTCGGAATCGGGGTCAGGCAGGCAATGGTCACAATCAGGAGCAAATGTTAGCATAAAGGGCAATCCAGAAGCGTAATCGAGGTCACAGGCAAAGACATGAATACAGGCAGCAGACAACATAAACAAGGGAACAAGACAAGGGTCAAACACAAAACGACTAAATAAGGAGAACACTTCGTAATGTTACAGGTAGAATCCAACAAGTCTCTGTGTGTGTGTGTCAAAGTGAGGTGTGTAAATAGTCCTGGTCATTAGTCCTTATGATAATCAGCTGTGTGTGCGCAATCATGGATAACCTGGAACTGGTGTGTGTGTGAGGTGCATGACGGGAGTTGTAGTTCCTTGTCAGACTTGTAGAACGAATGTTCTAAAGTGTATAAGGGTTAGATTGCTGCTCATCATTACAGAATGGGTATATTTTAAACTAATCTGACGAATATTCGGGATTTTAATTCTTTTCTTTTCTATACTTTACAAATAAGCACTTGTGTTCATTCATTTCATTCATCCTGTGTATGTCAGCAATGTGTAAGCAGTTGGACCTGCATAGATGCATAATTAACACTCTCTGCCCTTGACTTAAGACCTTCTTTCAGTTGGTCAATGGTGCAGTCTACTTTAGTTCCTCAAAATAGCAACGCGCCAACAATGTGCCTTAACACCTCTATTTTACACACATGAGTCCAGAAACTGGCACAAATTGATTTGCTATTTAAACAACATGGCACAAAATGTGAAAACTACTGTTGAGCTGGTCTGAAAATAGGAAAATAGCAACTAATCGTCTTGCATCTTAATGCTCCAGGTGTATGATGGGCTGCTACTGTCTTTACGATATTCATCAATAGCTTTCTTCTCAGGACATTTTACACCTCCTGAAGCTGAAGTATTTGAAATCAGTGTAGTATGTGGATTTATCATGAATCATATACATTTCAATGTTTGCTGCTTTATTTCTCAGAACACAGTATTGAGTGCCAAGCATTTCCTTCAAGCACAAAAACCTGGGAAGTGGACCATAAATTACCCCACACTCAACCTGCTGCGTCCTGTTCCCAGGTTAGATGGTTTTCACTCATGACAACTCTTGGGATGGTTTGTAAATTATGTTGTTAATGTAATTAGAACATGCATAAATTTGGTCTTGGTGGGTTAGTTCTTCTACGCTGCTGCTAAAGCAGTAGTCGGCTTGCTTGATTTTAAAGCCTGATCAATAAACGAATGAGAACGTTCTGCTACTAGAAAGAGGAGGACCTGCCTTAATAGCAGATCTACTTGGCAGGTGGTGCTGGGGAGGCAGAGGGCTAGAGTTATTTATTTATTACATTTATTTTTTTTTTAAATTGTCAAACTGGTTTACAGATGAAGGTTTATATTTTTATTAACTAAATAAAAATACAATTATAACAATACATGAACTCCAAATCATTCAATACACTTTCAAAGAAAGAAAATAAATGAATATATAAATAATACATAAGCAAACAAAAATAATCAAATGAAATAAAACGGCAATAACATGCTAGTCTATATACCATGCGTCAGTGTCCATCAATTCAGCAAAGGAGTCACAGTCTAGACCAGGGGTCTCAAACTCAATTTACCTGGGGGCCGCAGGAGGCAAAGTCTGGGTGAGGTTGGGCCGCATAAGGGATTTCACACAAAAAAAGTCCTCAAATGTCATTATTAACAGTTTTAATTATTTTTTCTGAACATGAAGTGTCCTGAACATTAATAGAACATTGAGTGAAGATTATGAACAGTTCTTCTGAACATGGCATCTTTTGCCTACTTCTTGCTGCCAGAGACTTGACAGCGCTTCTTCTCACAAATCTGAACCACATTTGGCTTTAGAGCGGCAGCAGTTGAGACCCTCAGTATGGCTTGAAGATGATCATCATTAAGTCTAGACCTGTACTTTGACTTATTGAAGTTCAAGGTGGAGAATAACTTCTCACACAAATATGTGCTCCCAAAAAGGCCAAGTCCTAGGGAAAAAAGTGGGGGAACTCACTCAAAACTTCCATTCCCTCACCTAAAAAAAAAGGCGTATATATGTATAAATAAAACACCCCCACCCCACTCCAGTCACATCAGTCTGTACCAGTCTGTATCTACCTATAATATATATAAGAAAGGGCTAGAAATTAACTTTTTTACTTGGTAGCACCGGTGCTCCCAACTTCAAATATTTAGGAGCACCAAAATAAATTTAGGAGCACCAGAAAAAATTTAGGAGCACCCACCAAAACTGAATGAGCACCGCTGCAAATTGGTTTTTAAAGGATTTATTGTATTTTAAAACAACATCAATAGGACTGACAAAAACCAGAAACAACTATCTAACTAATGCTGTGAAGACATTGATATTTGTGTGCAATAATTCCAAAATGAATGTCTAATAATTAGGCCATAGAATATTAATGATGATAAAAAATGACAATAATAGTAACAATGAATTCCATTTCTCATTATGATGCTGCCTTGAATGTGCATGAATGTAGGTTATCTGCTATAAAAAGTCTGTTACTTTATGAAAAATAATTGTAGTTTGCATCAAACAAAAATGAAGCATTGCAGTAAGAAATATTGATTTTGTACTGCTGTTTTTATATGCATGTCAATTTAATAAACAATAATTCTGCTACAAAACAAACAAAAGATTATAATAAATCATTAAATTCAATGATGAAAGCTGCAAAGCAGTCATCAGTAAATAAATATAAAAATAATATACACCTCAAAAAAGAATAGACAAAAGAAAGTAAGTAAAGTCTCACTTCTATCACTCTTTAAAAGTTTTGGTTTCAGTTTGTGTCAATTTAAAGGTTCAGTCTGAGCTGATCTTCATGTTTCTGTGTTAGTGGAAAAGCTGGCGAGTCAGCCGACCCAATTTATGAGCAGGCAGAGCAGGATTCTTGCACGAACCGTCGGCACAATACCGGTCTTTGTTATGAGCCGCAGTTTCAGTGTAAACTTAGTAAAGGCGAGCTTCTTTGGCGATGATATGTACAGTATTAGATTTGACTTTTAGCGGACATTTGCGCTGAACACGCAGTGAATGCAACGCATGGAGATTCGGGCGCCTTCTCCAAGAAGCGCGTACTCGATTGATCTCAGCTGGTGGATCATTATTCACCACGTGACGTGTCATGATTGCTCTCATCTGCGCCTCAATTTTAGGTGGGGTTTGCAAACCTGTGGGCTTTAAGTTTTTACTCTTCAGTTCAGCCGTTTGCATTTCCCGTGGTCATTAAAGCTCCTTCCCTGTCATCTGACAGCGGAATACCTTGAGTGATTGACAGCTAATATGAACCAATATAGCGGCAGGGAAGAGCGATTCAGCACGTTTTTAGAAAAAAACAAAACAGGTCGCACTACAACCATTATCAGCAGTCGCACTAATACGCCCATATATATTATGAGGTCGCATAGATTAATTTTCGGGCGCATATGCGACCAAAATGGTCGCAATTTCGAGCCCTGTAAGATACAGGCTGTAGCTAGGTAGCTAAGTGGCAGGCAGGGGCGGGAACAGCTTACCTTGGTTCTGGCCGGCGCGAGTTCCCGTCACAGCGTCTAACAAAGGGGCGGGGTACGTGGTGACGCCACCGGCATCCCCGCCCCTTTGTTTACACGGCGGGCGGGGAATGCCAGTGACCGCTGTGTACGGATAGAATCAGCGGAGCGGGGAGCGCTCTCTCTCCCCGCTCCGCTGATTCTGTCAGTGTACAGCGGTCGGCGCGGGCCACAAAATATTGCACTGAGAGCCGCAAATGGCCCGCGGGCCGCGAGTTTGAGACCCCTGGTCTAGACAGTCAAACACTTTGCAGAATTACTTTACAAATGATTTGACACCAAAAAAGACGTTCAGTACACTCACATATGCCATGAAATAAAGTTTCCTTCTCTTGTAGAGTGCTAGGGCTCTATTTTGGTGGTCCATGCGCAGAGCGCAAAACGCAGGGCGCAAATGCTTTCAGGGCGTGTCAGGACGCGTTTTTGCAAATTTAAGGACGGGAAATCTGCCTTGCCCTTCGGCGCATGGTCTAAAAGGGTTGAGTTTATTTTCTTAAATAGTTATAAGTGTGTTTTAAGAATAAACCAATTAGAGTCTCATCTCCCATTCCCTTTAAGAGCCAGCTGCGTCGCGCCAAGAGCGCATTCGCTATTTACAGGACGCAAAGTAAGTCTAAGTGGAAAAAATGAGCATTTCACAAGCAAACAGTTAACAGTTTTTTTTTAACAGAAAACTGTTAAACAGAGCATCTACTGCGTGAGAATGAGAGATAATGGATCTACTTTCGCTCTTGGATAGGGAAACCTTTACGCACAGACATCAGTTAGCCTATAAACAATTCATTTTGTTTGTTAAGCGCAAATATTCGTTTCAAAACTATTTCTAAATTCAGTTCTAATTTCCAGCAAACGAATAAATGAACAATAATCACAAAATGTGCTCAAAAACCTGAGTTATATCCTAAAACACATGCTGTGCCCCATATGGTCTAAAACCTGACAGGTGGGCAAATCTAAGCTTGTTTTTAATAAAACAAATATAAAAATGTATATAATAAATAATACTGCTAATAATAATAACATTATACAAAAGCAAATTGTTATGAATGAACTGAAAAAGCCTCCCGAGATGAAGAAGACATAAAAGCAGTGATTTTTCATATTTATGTAGGCTAGAAAATAATATGTTTTGTAATACTTTAATCCTTTATATTTATATTCTATATCTATTCTTATTATATCCTATATATATCCTTAATATTTACATTTTTTTTTCATATGTAAAGATATTTGCCTATTGCTCTCTTGTGCGTATTAAGCAGTGTGTAAGCGAGGCGCAACTCTGCGCTGGAGTTTAGACCGGGTTAGTTTTGGTCTAATGAAAAATCTATTATAGTTTCTCAAAATAGCAACGCACTAGCGGTCCGCCTCAGAACGCCTCCCTTTTTAGACCAGAACGCCTATGGGCACACAAATGAGCGCTAATGCATTTGCTATTTAAACAGCGTAGCGTAACGCCTCAAAACGACTCTTGCACCGAGCTGAAACTACCAAAAGACTACTGTGCCACGCCTTGCGCCACACTGCGTCGGGTGTATGATAGGGCCCCTAGTGTTAATACATAATGCAGTGATTCATGCTTTGTTTTAATTAGCACAACATCATTTTAAAAGTGGTCTTCGAGTTGAATTATCTAGTTGCTGAAGCTTTTATCACAATATACGGTATTACTGTGATATTAACCCAAGCTGAATAAATGATTATCAGGTGTAACGACCAAAAAATACTTGGTGTTTTAGAGTAAATATATATATTTTAAACGAATAGCAAATTTCCAAAATACAATAGGTAACCCATTAAAACAAAGTCTGATTAGTAGAAGTTTAGTTGGTTAGTTAGTTAATACATTAAAGGGCACCTAGTTTACCCCCTTTTTTCCAGATTTAATACGAGTCTTTTTTTTTTTTTTTGTCTACACAATGTGTCTAAAGTTTTAGCTCAAAACACCCATCAGATTATTTATTATACCTTTCAGAAGTTTGTGATTTTTAGCTCTAAACAGCTTGTTGCCGTTTTTGTGTACTGTGCCTTTAATGCTAGTCCTCCCTGCCAGCCGTTTCCACGTGCCTGTCAGTGTACCTCAATCTTTGCCCTCGACTGCGTCTCACTTAATGGCCTCACATAACGTTTGTGAGAAAATACTACAGTAAGAAGTTTGTTTATTGAATGATTACAAAGGTCACACACATACACACACACACACACACACAGCACAGGTGTTAAGCTTTGCACTGTTTTTCCATGGCAAATGTGACAGGATACAGGCTAATCTCCATTGCTGTATGGAGATGTTATGTTGAAAATAAAAAAACAACAAAATAAACCTGATTTAACATCCACAAACCGGGATTGAAGCGTCTTCTTTTATAATTGTTCTGACACGCGGCTGTGCTGATGAAGTAAAGAGGCTAAAATCGTTGTAATCCATTATACACATACAATGTTTTAAAACATGTTAAACTTGTAAAACTCTCTCTTGATCACATTTGATGATGATTGGTGATCCTAGCAAACTGAACAGACCTTTTATTCCCGGTTGCTTTGCGCATGTCCTGTCTTGTTAGTATGATTAGACATGTTACTACGGAGACATGTTAATACGCAGCTGTCTATCAATTCAGTGGGGAGGGGAACTGCACTCCTAGGGGGAGCATGAGCTGTCGCTCCTCCTCCTGTAAGCTGTTTTAATGCGTACACCAACCCCACCCCTAACCCTACCCCCAGTGACATCACTCGTAGAAGAAGTGCAAAAAAGGTGGAGCTCAAGCTTAAGCTCCCCCTCGCTGGAGCTCAGCTCTCCTCAAATGGCTCTGCAGCGAGCACCACTTGTCAAAATGGGAGGGATTTGAATCCTATTTTAACGTCAGGAAATAAAAAAAAAGAGACTTATTGCGTTTATATCACCCCAGTATGACTGTTGACACATTATACCTACACACAGTTCTGTCTTAATAGCTTACAAAAGATGATTTTGATCATAGGTGCCCTTTAAGATGAACAATAGGGAATAGCTATATTATAGTAATATGTTAAAGTTCATAAAAAATACAACTGAATTGTGTTGGAACCTTGCTGTAGAGAGTTAATGAACAAAAAAGACCTATAAATAGCCATCAAATTTTCAGTGCCATACATCAGATTAATGAGAAATGTAAAATAATATAGAAATATTAAATTATCCCCAATATATTGATCTGAATATTCTTAAAAGGCACTTTAAAAGTTTAATTTACAAATTAATTTTCACAATTTCACATATTAACTTGCCCACAATATCAATATTGTGCATACTCATTATGACAATATAATGAGTTAATAAATATTAGCATATTTCAATTTGAAAGCTGAGATCTGATGACAGATTACAATGGGCAAAAAGGAAAAAAGTACTCTATCAGCTTTGAGAAATTGAATTTCTAAGTAAATCAAATGCTGTTCAGTATCAGTTTTTGTTCTTGCCAGTGTAATAGCTGCTTTTGTTGTTATTTTGTCATACAGTGATGTGGCCATTTCTCGCTCCTGTGTTCCTAAACCCATCGAGTGTCTTGCTAAGGAAATTGGTCTTCTTTCGGATGAAGTTGAGCTCTACGGCAGGACCAAGGCCAAAGTCCAACTGAAAACCATTGATCGACTGCAGACTCAGCTTGATGGCAAATATGTGGTTGTAACAGGGTAATTTGATTCTCTGTTTACGTTTATTTTTTTTCCTTGGAAGTATTATACTTCATATAGTTCACATTTTGGCTTCTATTTTGATTCTTGTGCTAGAAGGTAACATCTTGTTTAACGCAGAATTACTCCGACTCCTCTGGGTGAAGGAAAGAGCACCACCACAATAGGGTTGGTTCAAGCTCTCGGAGCTCATCTCAAACTCAATGCATTTGCGTGTGTGCGGCAGCCATCACAAGGCCCAACGTTTGGCATCAAAGGTAATGTTTTTGAGTTTACAAATGTTTCGCTAAATTCTGTGATTTCCCTGTATGAATACAGATTTCTTAATTGGGCGGCTCTTGTCATTTGCGTAAATCCAAAGTTGTTTTATTTTAATTTGAGACTGCCTGGGATTAGTTTCCCAAACAACAACATAAGTCACGGCTGAACTACTGTGATACGATGAATTGTTGGTAGGAAAGAAACAATGTTGTGATAAGTTTTTCCCAAAACCGTAGTTTCTCTGTCACAGATTCATCGATTGGTCCACATTAGTTTATATGTAAAACGTCCATAATGACGTTCTAAACAGGGCAGGGTGATTTTTTTATTTATTTTATTTTTTTATTTTTTTGTACAGGTTTTATTATTTTACATGCACACTTATACACACTTTTTTAAAAATTCAATATTAGTTTTGGTAAAAACAAGCATTAGTTTTTCTTATAAACTGAAACGGCACAAATAGGGTCTTTATTTCTTTTACAAACATTTCATTCATTCATTTTCCTGTCGGCTTAGTCCCTTTATTAATCCGGGGTCGCCACAGCGGAATGAACCGCCAACTTATTCAGCAAGTTTTTACGCAGCGGATGCCCTTCCAGCCGCAACCCATCTCTGGGAAACATCCACACACACACTCACACACACACTCATACACTATGGACTATCCAATTCACCTGCACCACATGTCTTTGGACTGTGGGGGAAAGCGGAGCACCCGGAGGAAACCCACGCGAAGGCAGGGAGAACATGCAAACTCCACACAGAAACGCCAACTGAGCCGAGGTTCGAACCAGCGACCTTCTTGCTGTGTGGCGACAGCACTACTTACTGCGCCAATGCCTCGCCCTCTTTTACAAACATTGTGGAGAATATTCTATAATCTATCCGCTTGTAAAGTGTGACTTCACACGAAGCTGCTTCCGGGTCCAAGCGCTCCATTCAACTGTATTTGGAGACAAATGAAATGGTAATTATAAACGTTTAGAAAGCGATTCAATACTTTCGAAAATCACGATCGCATTGTATTTGTCTTTGCCTAATATTCGATGGCCAGAAAGTAATAAATTTTTTTATAAATTGTTAATTTCGGTACTTGTTATGCAGCAAGCCCAGAGATTGTTGTGTACACTATGACTTTATATAAAAATAACTTTAATGTGTGATATAAATGAAAAGTGATCATAATCGAATTGTTTATCAACTGAAATGAGTGGTGGCTAGGACCCGGAAACAGTATTACATACGTAACCAACACGTCACCACTTAACAAGCGGATTCTGAAATATAAAACAATAGGTCAATCTTATGTAGCCTATAAATCATATACACTCACCAGCCATTACCTTTATTAGGTACACCTGTCCAACTGCTCATTAACGCGAATTTCTGATCAGCCAGTAACATGGCAGCAACTCGAGGCATGTAGACATGGTCAAGACGATCTGCTGCAGGTCAAACCGAGCATCAGAATGTGGAAGAAAGGGGATTTAAGTGACTTTGAACGTGGCATAGTTGTTGGTGCCAGACGGGCTGGTCTGAGTATTTCAAAAACTGCTGATCTATTGGGATTTTCATGCACAACCATCTCTAGGGTTTACAGAGAATGATCTGAAAAAGAGAAAATATCCAGTGAGCGCCAGTTCTGTGGACGCAAATGCCTTATTGATGCCAGAGGTAAGAATGGCCAGACTGGTTCCAGCTGATAGAAAGGCAACAGTAACTCAAATAAGCACTCGTTACAACAGAGATCTGCAGAAGAGCATCTCTGAACACACAACACGTCCAACATTGAGGCAAATGGGCTACAGCAGCAGAAGACCACACCAGGTGCCGCTCCTGTCAGCTAAGAACAGGAAACTGAGGCTACAATTCACACAGGCTCACCAAAACTGGACAATAGAAGATTGGAAAAACGTTGCCTGGACTGAGGAGTCTCCATTTCTGCGGCAACATTCGCATGGTCGGGCCACAATTTGGTGTCAACAACATGAAAGCATGGATCCATCCTGCCTTGTAGCAACAGTTCAGGCAGATGGTGGTGGTGTAATGGTGTGGGGGATATTTTCTTGGACCATTAGTACCAATTGAGCATCGTGTCAATGCCACAGTCTACCCGAGTATTGTTGCTGACCATGTCCATCCCTTCCATGTCATAAATTATTCAAAAAGTGGATGTTGAAACATTCAAAAAGAATAAGTCTTATGCTGCTTTCAAACCAGACGCGGAACGTGCGTCAAGCGCGAGTGATTTACATGTTAAGTCAATGCAAACCGCGAATAGACATCCTGCGGCGCGATACGCGCGAATGGCGCGGAGCAAATGGACCGAATGGTGCGGTGCGAATAGCGCGAATCTCTCGAGTTGGAAATTCTGAACTTCAGCGGACATTCGCGCCGCGTTAACCAATCAGAAGCTTGCTCTTGTGGGGGCGTGATTGTGACGTAGAACCTGTTGATGGTGTCCCGGGGCAAATCCTCCAGGCGACACCGACAACAAGTCATCAAACTGGGCAGGGCTCAGTCAGAAGCACCGTTGAAAGCCTCCGTGATCCAGGTTCAGTTTCTTGAGGAGTTTATGAGCTCACAGAGCTGGATGCACCTCTGAAAGCATGTAGTGGACTCAGACACGGTCCTAAACGTATCGACGCTGTTTTTCAGCCTTCATAAAGCACATAAACACTGTTATTATCTTCATAAAATCTATGTTAGCCATTTAGCAACGAAGCTACAGTCACCGAGCAGACCGACTCCCTGCCCATCACGCGAATCCGCGTCTGTTTTGAAGTAAATTTGACGCGTGAATGAAGCGGGGTTTGACGCGCGAATGAAGCGAGTAAACTCAAATCTTCACGCGGCAAATTACGAGCGAATATCGGGATTTATCCGCGCGTTCCACGTCTGGTGTGAACAGCATTAGGGGGCATAACTAGGAGTGGAGCACAACCTTCTAACTACAGCTATGGAGGTGTAGTTGCAACTGCACACAATTCTAGGGCAGTTTGCGAATTTTTTTGGAATGACGAGAAACACCAAATCGCTGAACTATTGTTGTAACGACAGAACACAAACAAAATATAATTGCTTTATATTGAGCGACAATAGAAAGCTACATTTCTAGTTTCTCTCTCCAATATTTCTGCTGTAGGTGGTGCTGCTGGCGGGGGCTATTCTCAAGTCGTTCCCATGGAAGAGGTAACCTTACTTACCTGCTGTTTGGTTTATTTAATAAATGTGTGAAATCATGTGCTCATTGATGTCGTCTTCTTTCAGTTCAATCTTCATCTGACCGGTGACATTCATGCCATTACTGCAGCCAACAACCTTGTAGCTGCTGCAGTGGATGCTCGTATGTTCCATGAAGCCACGCAGTCTGATAAGGTAACCCGTGTCTTTATTCACAACACTCTGGTTTTTAGTCTTGTCTGAAAATGATTGAGGTTTTTTAATTTAGTAAATGTTTTGAAGTAAGAGTTACAGTAAAACATGTGAGGTGTGCTGTACACTACTGAAACTAAGAAACGAAAGATATATCGGTAATACTTTACTTGAGGTGTTTGTAAGACTGTCATGACACCGTTATAATCATGATATGGAGATTTAAAGCATCCTTATGACCGCTTTCATTAAGTGTCATTTGCTCTGTAATGTCATTTTAAATACAAAGATAAAAACTAAATGCATCAAAACCTGTCTTTGTCATGACAACTAGACTAGGACAACTTACTAGAACAACTTGTCATAAATGGTCGAGAAGGGATACAGCTGTGGATTCTTGATTCATTCATTTTCTTTTGGCTTAATTCCTTTATTCATCAGGAGTCGCCACAGCGGAATAAACCGCCAACTTATCCAGCATACACAGTGGATGCCCTTTAAGCTGCAATACAGTATTGGGGAACACCCATACACACTCATTCACACTCATCCACTACGGCCAATTTAGTTTATTCAATTCCCCTATAGCATGTGTCTTTGGACTGTGGGGGAAATCGGAGCACCCAGAGGAAACCCACACTAACACCGGGAGAATATGCAAACTCCATTGAACCAGCTCCATTGACTTGAACCAGCGACCTTCTTGCTGTGAGGCAACTGTGCTAACCACTGAGCCACTTGTGACGCCATAATCTGATCAATATAGCATTGTGACACTATACAACAGTAATTACTATTTTTACATTCCTGTGAGGGTTGGCTTTAGGTTTGGGGTAACGGTAGACGTTACTAAATACAATTTAATGGGTTATTGAATAAATATTATAATTGTCGTTATAATTACTGTGAGGGTTTAGGGTTGGTGTAGGGCCAGACATTAAGAAAGTACAATAATTGGGTAATTTTATTAAATAATATGTTTCCTGCTAACTTCCACAGCTGTATCCCTTCTAGCAACAACCTTGTCATAAATCCGTCATAAACATAATTGTCATGAAGCTGTTATTATCCTCATGATGATTATCTGATCACTTTTGTCAGTGAAGCAAACCGAATTGGTCATTAAAAACGTCACAATTTTAATGATGCGGTTCTAAAATGATCTGATAGAATATTGACACTTTTAGCGAGATTGTAAAGACAAATTCAATTTGTACCGCTGTAATTGAGGTCAAGCTAAATATTAATGGTGCTGTTATCAAATTTAACAAATAAAAAGTTGTATCCTCAATTTCTATAGAGAATTAAGCACACTAATTAGTGTTTATTAGTGCATGTGGATATTTTACATACTCTATGATAAATGAATTAAAACGAATAGTTGCTATCTAATCTGACACCTGAACATTTTTAACCTGAATATGATAACAGAAACATTTTAATGAAGGAAAATTGCCATTTTTTCGATCTGATATCAGGCCTATAATTGTAAAAACAGAAAGACTGCTGATTTTTTTAGGTAGACCATTTGTATTAGTTTAGATGCAGTCGATAGCTGTTCCTAAATGTCAATGGGCTATATGCACACAGACTTTTAATTTTCAGCCACTAATTTGTAATTTCCCATTACGAAATTGTCATGTTTAAGATCTGATTTCTTAAAAATCAGTGATCTTCACTGCCTGTTAGATATATGATATGAAGTGGGTCTCAGATTGGACAAGAAGCATTGCATTAAATTCCATTTCCCCCCGCCATGTCTTTAAAACATGACAGTTTATTTCACCACAGTATTATCAATGGAATTTCTGTGCTACTGACGCCACTAGTATCCTACACCGGTTTTCATCTCATTTTACGTTTGAACAACTAAATAAATCCTTAAGTCTATTTAACTGAATGTATTGTAATTATATTACAACATCAATGCTGTAAAAAAATCCTTGTGAAACTGAAAACCGTCACATTAAACTTTCACCAGTAGTTTATCATCAGCTTTAAAACTCTTAGCTGTGCATAGAGCCGATTGTGTGTTAGTGAACTGAGAAAGGGAGCTCTTAGATATTTGAATACAAAGAAGATACGAAGGTGTGTACATTAAATTATTATTGTTATCGTGTAGTGGGAATCAGCTGTTAATATCATTCTTTCACTGTTCTAGGCTCTCTTTAACCGCTTGGTACCGTTGGCTGAGGGTCAGAGGAAGTTTTCCCCGGTTCAGATCAACAGACTTGAAGTAAGACATTTTTTAAAATAATTTTTCAATGCTTCTCTCTAAAGCTTTACCGTCAATTCGTCTATGTTCAGTCCTTGTTTAATTTTGTTTCTCATACTTATAGAGACTAGGCATAAAGAAAACAGACCCCAGCACATTAACAGAGGAGGAAATCACGCGCTTCGTCAGGCTGGACATTGACCCCGAGTCTGTCACTTGGCAGCGAGGTATGATAGATGGACTTTTTTTTCACATTTCTGTGATGGGACAGTAGAGAGGGAGACAGGAGTAAATGGGTGGTAGGGAGAGGGGAAGGATCAGTAAAGGACCTTCAGCCGGGGCTCAAACTTTGGTCACTGTGAGCGTCTCAGTGCTACGTGTTGGCGCAATTAACCACTAGATTATTGATGCTGACAGAATATACATTTTTACATGTTAAAGGTGCAGCAGGTGATTGTCTTCAGAAGCATTTTTTGGTGTGCTGGTTGAAAGTCTATTCACAGTCTAATAGTAATGATTACAGTAAATGATCTAAATGTGTTTATATGTATTTTTATATTTTGGGTAAGGCATAAAACTACAAAATGTTCATCCAATAGACTGATTTCACACGGCCGCCATTTTCAAAAGCGAAATCGAGGCTGCGGTGGGAAGAAACCCGGAAGTATCATAGGGAGTTACGAAGGAATGTTGTGTAACTGGCTATATATCTTATCAGCAAAGAGAAAGTGACACAAATTTATCATTTCTCCGCCTTCCGGGTGACCCGAAGGTCCGTTCTGAATGAATGGTGAATGTAAAAAGGGATATCAGAGCTCATTTTCAGCTAAGTTAAGGGAAATAGCACTAGTTAGCTAACGTTTTCTTCCCCAAACACACGTTTTAGATGCTATTCATCAAACTCGAGTTAATAAACTGATTCTTTCACTATATTAGACTTGTCACGATACTGAATTAAAAGAAAGACCGGCAATTTCGCGCTAACATTTAAGGCAATGTTGATGGCTTTCTTAAAACATCGCTGATTTACCATTGTGTTCACGTGTTCAACAGAAATGCTTGTGATTGGCCGAGAAGGTCATCAGTTCACCCACCGCTGTATACTGAGCACAAACACAGACGAGCCAAGCGATCTGCTTGATGACTCGACTGATCTTGACGGCTGCTTCGCGCTCCAGTCCGTGTATCTCTGCTTGCACTGGGTGAAGAGCGGTAAACTGAGCGCAAACCAAACACAAATACATGGAGACTAAAGTGCGAAGCCGTGAAGATCAGTCGAGTCATCCGCGCTCAGCAGCGCTTCCATGTTAGCGGGAAATAGCCGGGTTTAAAACTTCAGTACCGGGACAACACTATTAAAGACAACACAAGGGTGTGCTGCAGAGGACTGCAGTGTTTTATCACACACCAGGTTACACAGGCTGAAGCAGGAAAGCGTCCTCACGGTGTTTAACTGGTGCAATGAGCTGAAGCCTAGGAGGACACTTAAGTGTATCACTGAGATTGTGATCTTGTTTGATGCTAAATTGCTTTTAATTGTTTAAAATAAACTTACTGAATGATATTAAAGTGATGGTTACACCATTTCTGCATTTTGAAATCTCTGCAACAGCTGGAGGTTTATAGTACACGGAATGTTACTGCAATGTTTACAGTGCTGGACCTATACTTCCGGGTTTCTTCCCACCGCAGCCTCACTTTGATTCTTTAAAATGGTGGCCGCGTGAAATAAGCGTATTAAATAGAGTCGGACCGTCATCTCTCATAATTCCAAATAGCAGGTCAGACTGTCTGTCAACAAATGCAGATTTGAACAACTGCGCAGCCGTTTGTACGTAGCTCCGCCGACCGCTGTTGGTGCTGCGCGTTCACAAGAGAGGGTGCGCACGCCCGCGAGATCGGTAAAAACCTGCTAAATCAAAACTTTTTAAAAACCTGAATCAATATTGGAGTTACCTTTGCACACTGGGGAAAGGATGAAACAGTAGCCCCTTTCACACATACAGACCTTTCCGGAAAATTGCCGGCAATTTTCCGGAAAGGTTGTATGTGTGAACAGGTCCTTTTTGAAAATACCGGTAAATTCGTTCTGGCTATTTTCCGGAAAGAGAAGTTGTAACATTACCGGCAATTTGCCGGAATGCTGCGCTGTGTGACTGCAGATGGAAGATTGCCGTAATAAGCGCGTGCACGTCTAGAACGTGCTGACGTGAGACGTCTGCTTTAGCCAATCACAACAGTCAGACGCATTTACGTCCGCGCGGTTTGTGAGGATAAAAGCCTTTGAATATTTTTCCAGACACATTTAGCTGCTAGAAGTCAGTCAGATCACGTTTATATGTTCTTCTTAATGCCAACTGTGTAAATAATCATCGATGAGATGCTTATGATAAGCTGTTGTTTGTTTACCTTCAAGCTTTGCGTGTGTCTGTGAAACAGCCTGTGAGCGCCAGCACACGCACATATTATGAACATCTCGACATGCGAAAGTGATCCTGCGAAAGTTGTTCACAATATTGATCATCCACAGAGTTTGTAATTTAGTCAAATGTTTACAAATACAAGCGCAGCCGTTTAAAGCTCATTTGTGGTGAATGATGTCAGAATTTACCGGTATTTTGGAATGGATGTGTGAATGCTCTTTTCTGGAAAATTTCCGTAACGTCCTCGCCTGTGTGAACAGCGCTTTTTTGAATATACCGGTAAAGTCGTTCCGGAAATTTTCTGGATATTTACTAGTATCACTGTGTGAAAGGGGCTAGTGGCTGAAGGATTTCTCATAGAAAGGTAATGTTTTGTTTTGAAACTACTTTAGCTTCATACAACTGATGTCATGTTATTACAAACGGGTTATATCTTCATAGAAGTGTTGTTCAGCCACTAAAATCTTCCGATAAAAGATTGATAAGACTATTTTCAGTTTCATAGGGACCTTTTACAGCATCTATAGTGTAGATTTTTAATTAGTTTAACAACAAAACACAAGTAAATAGCGCTATTCCGCCTAGTCTCTCCCTATATTGTTTACCATGCAACTCTAAATATTCACTCTGAAAAAGCATGTCAGTTTGGCTTGCACCCCCGCGGACAAGCACTAGTCGCTATTAACACATGAGAGAGGGTTCTTTTGCTGTTCTAGGAGGCGTGGCTCTAGATGTCAGGGGAGGGACTGGCTGCGTCCGAAACCGCATACTTTCATACTATATAGTACACTAAAATCAGTATGCGAGCCGAGTAGTATGTCCGAATTCATAGAATTCGAAAATCAGTAGGCGAGAAGTACCCGGATGACTTACTACTTCCGGCGAGATTCAGGAGTGCGCATCCCATGCACGCCGCTCTATCCCATGATGCCCCGCGAGCGAATTCATGAATTGGAGTGAAGCGACACAAATGATGCAGGTAGGTCGCGTGACCATGACAAAATGGCAGATGTGGTACGTCTGAATTCCATTCATACTTTTCACATTCATACTGTATAGAACATACTTTTCTAACGGCCGAGTAGTACGTTTACATTCAAATGCAGTACCTACTGAGTAGTAGGCGGTTTCGGACGCAGCCACTGTGATTCAGAGATGTATGCTAAGCTGTTAGCATTGTGGAAGATCACCTACTGCACCTTTAAGTCTTCTCATGACTTTTGCTAGGGCTGCACAACAAAACTATTGTCATGTGTATTTGTGCAGCACTCCAGCTTGTTTATTATTCATGTTAAATCTGTTCATCAACTACTATAGAGATTTCCGGTGTTTCTTTGGGGCATTTTTGGTGTTTCTATGCAACTCATGAGAGTGCCTTTGGAGAAGGTTTACTACTGATCACACAACTGTGTTTCCCTGACAATCATGAGTGCAATATTTGTTTGATTTATCATGCAGCCCTATCTTATGCTATTGAGAAGCTAAATATAGCTAAGCTCACCTCAACAAACCAGAACACTCTTGATTGAGTATATCTATATATTGTGCTGATTTCCCTTTATTTAATCACCCTAATTAAACAAAGTTAAGATCAGGATCCTCCCTTAGCTATATTTCTTAGCAAGAGTTTAGTTAAAGGATCGTCTTTAAAGAATGTATTTTGCAAAAGAATAAATTAGAGCATACTTTACCACACAGGGTAACTTAGATGGGTTCTGGAAAATGAAGTCAATGTCCACTCCAGTGAAGAAAATTAATAAAATACACTTTTATTAATAAAATAAAATCCAGTGAAAAAGTAGAACAAACAAAAGACAACAGAAAACAAAAATCCTTACTTTGTCTCCTGTTAGAGACAAAGGGCAACCAACCTCAATGAACAGAAGTCGGGAAGCGCAAAGCTGAAGAGTACATGTCAGCTTTTATACTCAGTGTCTCAGTGACAGTATTCATAAATCAACCCTAAACACAGGTGCACAAACTACTTAAATCATACATTCAAGGAGCATGCGAAATCACTTGAACAGTAAAAAGACAGATATATAGTCATCAAGAGTACATTGTATTATATAAATCAACATTTAGGCATTTTAATATAAGCCTTGATTTATAATGTGCTATATAGTTATGCACTCAAATTCAGGTGCGTGAACTCGGTAGAGAGTTCAGCAAAAGTACAAGTTGGGAGTTCATTCAGAGTTCGACTACTAGCAAGAGGGTCATCTGAAGTAGCAAGGGGTTCACAGAGAGTTCGTCCAGCTGATTTGTTTGCTCGCCACGCCCTCTGCCGGAGATGCCTTTCCTTTCTCTTACGTTTCACTTCATCATTAAGAGTTGTACTTTTACGCATAGGAATATCAGAATACATCAGTGATTTTTTGTGTCTCACATGATTAATGTCATTTGACCCATCAATCATTACAATATACATACATGCAGTTCTTGGAGAATGAAACTGAAACGCCTGCTTTTAGACCATGATAGTTCATTAGTATAGTGTAGGGCAGGGATTCTCTAAGAGATTTTAGCTCTAACTTTCCACAACACCTCCTGCAAGGAGGTTTCTAGAAAGCCTTGTAAGAGCTTAATTAGCTAGCCCAGGTGTCTAATTGGGGTTGGAGCTAAAATCTGCAGAGCCCCTGGTGTACCACCTCTGTTTATAATGTAATACAGCATCAATATGTCTTGGTAATGACAGATACCAGTCCTGCACGGTGGCCAGAGGGGTTTCTTGCAGAACAGTGGCCAGGTTATTACATGATGCTGGAGGAGAAACATTTTATTACTCGCTCCTCCAAAACAGGGCTTAATAATAATTAGATCTGGAGACTGTGCAGGTCATGGTATATGTTCAACTTCACTTTCATGTTCATCAAACCACTCTGTCACCAGTCTTGCTGTGTGTATTGGTGCATTGTCATCCTGATTCACGGCTCCGCATTCAGGATACAATGTTTGAACAATCGGATACACATGGTCCTCCAGAATGGTTCGGTAGTCCTTGGCAGTGATGCAACCATCTAGCACAAGTATTGGGCCTAGGGAATGTCATGATATTGCAGCCCAAACCATCCCTGATACACCCCCATGCTTCACTGTTTGCATGCAAATGTCTGGGTGGTACACTTCTTTGGGGCTTTTCCACACCGTAACTCTCCTGGATGTGAGAAATTACCCTGGATAATTATTAGCCATTCTGTGAAATTTTGATTCTTTTTTCCCAAGTGATGTTTAACAAGGCACAGACATTTTCCACAGTATTTACTACAGTTTTTAAGCCTCGTTACTTTAAAGCAATTTTTAATGTCAATGTATTTAGCACCCTTTAGAAATGAATACAAATGCTACAGAAAAAAACAACTGTTGTACAATGACTTGAGTTATCAACTGAACTTTCCTAAATAACCCAATTAACCTAGTTATGTCTTTGAATTTCACTTTAATCTGAATTATGGTATCCTACAAAATAATATTATGAAAAATATTATGTATTGTCTTTAAAAGGATAAAGTTATTAAAACTATTGTGTTTGATTTATATTTAAATAAGTGATGAAAAAAATCTCTTAAACATCACTTGGGACTTCTTCATTTATCTATGAACTTATTATAAATGTATAAATAGTGTGTGTTTCTTTATTTTTTATCCTTTTTTCTTTCGCAGTGCTGGACACAAATGATCGTTTTCTTAGGAAAATCACGATTGGCCAGTCTCCTACTGAGAAGGGCTTCACCAGGACTGTGAGTATAACTCGTGTATACAAGCAAAATTTTCCAGGCACATTGTCCAACATGTACCTATATATATATATATATGTGTGTGTGTGTGTGTGTGTGTGTGTGTGTGTGTGTGTGTGTGTGTATGTATATATGTGTGTGTCTGTGTGTGTGTATATATTATGTAATATATATATTAGGGGTGTAACGGTTCACAAAAATCATTTCTGGGGTTTCTGCTTAGCAGCAAAAAAACATATCCTCGCTTGGCTAGGCTGGTCAAGCTGGTATTAGCTGGTCATCTCCCAGCCTGACCAGTTAAGACCAGGCTGGAAATGGCTGGAAACCAGCCTGGAAATGGCCAAAACCCCTCTAAAGCCAGGCTGTTCAACCAGCTAAAATCAGCCAACCAGCCTAGGCTGGTTTAAGCTGGATTTTTCAGCAGGGAAAGCATGTTTACCTATTCTGTCAGAAGACAGTAGGCAGTACCTGAGTGTTTTACTGGTATTGTGTTGCAGGCCCAGTTTGACATCACTGTTGCCAGTGAGATTATGGCAGTTTTGGCTCTCACTACCAGCCTGGAGGACATGAAACAGAGGCTAGCCAAAATGGTAGTTGCCACCAGTCGCAGCGGTCAACCTGTCACCACAGAGGACTTGGTATGCTGGCGTTTTGGTTTACTTTATCTAAAGAAATGTCACGTTTCAGCCTGCTCTTATTCTGGAAGTTTTGTTTGTTTTAGGGAGTGTGTGGAGCTCTGACAGTCCTCATGCGAGATGCTATCAAGCCAAACCTCATGCAGACTCTGGAGGTGAGTGTTGTTGTACAGGCTTGTGTGTGTATTTAAGTTAATTTAAGTTCATCTGGGCATATAAAGGCCTTGAAGGCCTCATAACTTAAATAACCAAATTTTCCCAGATTAAAGGGTTTAAAAAATTGTTTAATTCTGGCCTGAAGACAAAAAATCAAGAAGCCCCTGCTGAAAAATCCAGCTTAAACCAGCCTAGGCTGGTTGACCAGGCTGGTTTTAGAGGGGTTTTGGCCATTTCCAGGCTGGTTTACAGCCATTTTCAGCCTGGTCTTAGCTGGTCAGGCTGGAAAATGACCAGCCAAATCCAGCTAAAACCGGCTTGGCCAGCCTGGTTTAAGCTGGATATAGCTGGTTTTTGCAAGACTCCCACCTTGGCTAGGCTGGTCAAGCTGGTTTTAGCTGGTCATCTCCCAGCCTGACCAGCTAAGAAGGCTGGAAATGGCTGGAAACCAGCCTGGAAATGGCCAAAACTCCTCTAAAACCAGCCTGGTCGACCAGCTAAAACCAGCCAACCAGCCTAGGCTGGTTTAAGCTGGATTTTTTAGCAGGGGCACTTGACTGAACACCAAAACCAGAATGCTTTGTAGTAATTTTGCATTATTTTACTAAATAAAGTAATTTTGAAATACTTTTTAAAATGAAACAACCACATCTTATTGACACTGAATGAGTCGAGGTGTCATTTTACTAGTGTTGCCATGCCAACACAGTAGTGATTTTACAAGCAGCAGAAAGTAAACTACATAGAAATGTCCTATCAGCGTATTTGAGCAAACTATGCTGGTGATCGTGTGCAGTACATGCCTGGATAAATATTAGTGCAGTCATAATACTGGAATTGTGTTACCAATTTGTACTGAAATTTAAAAAACGTCCATCTCTTCCTTACATTTTAGCATGTACTTAAACACCACTGATTGGTCATTGGGTTCACATAGAACAAAAAACAAAAAAACTCCAGTGCCCTCTAGTGGACACATAGCAAGCATAACTTGCACATCAGCATAATATCCACTGAGTGGAAAATGTAACTGTTTTGATCATGGTGCATATGCAAGCCAGTCAATGGTGTGCTTTGCTGCTTTGGTCGGTGCAGCAACAAACTATTGATATTGAGGGTTTTATAGCATGTGAACACCGCTTCAGACTGAGCAGTGCCTACAGATGGAACAGAACACTGCTGGACACCATGGTAGAGATTTGCGCCGGACTAAATTTTGAATCCCGCTCTCAGCCGCACCCGCCAGGTTTTAGCCCGAACCCGAACGCTCCCGCTTATATTAAGCATTTGTTGTCCCGCTGCCAGACCTGCCCTGTTTTCTACCCACCACGCCTGATCCCGCTAAAGAGCAGGGGGAGAACAAAACCGAAAACCACCCAGCTATACAGAGTCCAGACAGCCTATAACAAGTTCACGACACAACTCATAACTGAGCTTGGAATATTTAAAACAAAAATTAAAATAGTTGCAGTCAAAACTTACATTTGTAAGTTGCATTTTAAACCGTTTAAAATTAAATGTTTTTTTTTTTTTTTTCAGCTTAATTGTCCACTGTTTGCAAAAAAAAAAAAAAAAAAATGAAATAAAAAAAAAAACACGAGGTAATTTCCACAAACCAAGGTAAATATGTTCTTCAATGATGTAAACAAGCATCATTGGTAATGGACCAGTTATGAAAACTTGCTTCCCAACTCTTGTCTCTGCTTGACTAGTTGCTTATTTCGTGTCCAATCTTTCTCTGATGTCTTAAGCCTTTGTCTGCACAATTGTTTAGGGAAACCCTGTGTTTGTTCATGCTGGGCCTTTCGCCAACATTGCACATGGAAACTCCTCAATCTTGGCTGATAAAATTGCTTTGAAACTAGTTGGACCTCAGGGATTTGTGGGTAAGTTTTACAGATTATCGCTAACTTTCTGTTATAGTCATTGGCATCATTTTAATTGATTTGTTAAGTGAAGAACATATATAATTGACAAATGTTGAAACTGAAATGGGTTAGGTAAAAAAGGTATAGGTTAAAACAAACAAATAAAAAAAATTATTTTAATTTTATTTATTATAAAACACTCTGAATGTGAGAATGGAGTAAAGGATTAAAAAGATATTAATATAAGAAAGTACACGTCAACAATTGCTGTATTTTCGAGGCACAATATATATATATATATATATATATATATATATACATAAGATGTATGTATTTTTGCTGACCTATGTACTTTTATTATCCCAAAGGTTTTCGAACAAGAGAAATAAACAATTAGTTTAGTGAGCTGGATCGTGTTCTGTGTGGACACGCTAATGACATCATAGCACAGAACTGCATTATAACAGCGGCATAATGAAAGCTATGCTGCTTTTGTTCCATGTCACGCTATTCTCTTATCTGCAATTGCTTCAGCGCTCTTATTTGCTTTCATGGCTTTCATCCGTAATCTGCTTCATACTAATATAATAATAAATGTTAAATACTTTAGCTCATCCATGAATAGGATTTTTGCAGTCGTCCCGTAGGATATAATGAAGAAGACCATCAAACTACGACTTTGTTTGTTTTGAATACAAGCCCTCTAGTGGCAAAAAGTACGTACTGTGCAGTTAAAATCCATGTGAAGTTAATCCACTGAATAACTGATGTTTTGGTACTCTTCAATCAAAATCTGATTATTTGCTCCCGCATTTTTCTCTGTTGATGTCAGTTAACTTAAGCCACAATATTCTTAATCACACTCCACTTACCAGTATTTCCCTACTCTATATTCGCTTTCCGATGGAAGTACATCAACTCTGAAATAAAGTCCATGTGAACAAGAGGTTGCTGATACTTTTTTTTATTATCAAAATGTATTGTCTGTTTGTTTGTCATGGATCCCATCCGTTTGGGTTTACCCTTGTTTGTTTGTTTTCTGACAGTCACAGAAGCTGGGTTTGGAGCAGATATTGGAATGGAGAAATTTTTCAACATCAAGTGTCGCTACTCTGGTCTCAAGCCTCATGTTGTGGTGTTGGTTGCTACAGTCCGAGCACTTAAGATGCATGGAGGTGGTCCGACGGTGGGTCTGATAATAACTCCTGTGTAGTGGAAGAAGGAGTTGATTTAATGGAGAATATAATGGTGAATGCTTATGGAGTTGATGTTAACGTGCATTTCATTGTGTCTTTTCTATAGGTTACTGCAGGCACCCCTCTGCCAAAAGAATATATTGAAGAGGTACTGTATAATCATTTACATATCCGTCTTTTGAAATCCACTTTGAACTTTAGGCAGTGTTTGCAAGGATTTAAGCAGGTGATTTTGAGTTGCTAGATTTATTTTAGGTCAAACAATGGTCTATAATGAACTGAATTGCTGATGAACACCAAGTTATTGTGTCTCATCAGTTCAATCGTTATTTGTTTACGATAGATGGATAGATGGATGGATGGATGGAAGGGCTTATCCTGTAAAAACAACTGCCTAGATGTACATTATTCCACTTATATGGCTACTTCACATAAAAGTAAACGATTAAAAAACATTTATTTATTTTCTAATTTATTTGCAGTTCAATTTATTTACCGACTCGTTCATTAAACGTAAAGTTTGCAGAAAAAAATGGCTGAATGCAGCCTTCACTAACATTCTTTATTATTGTCACAATATGGCGGCAAACAGTCTAGATCAGGTATGGGCAGACTTGATCCTCGAGGGTCGGTGTCCCTGCAGAGTTTTGTTCCAACACTAGTCAAACACACCTGAACAAACTAATCAGTGTCTTCAAGATCACTTGAACTCTATAGGGAGGTCTGTTTGAATAGGGTTGGAGCTAAACTATGCAGGACACCGGCCTTCCAGGATCAAGTTTGCCCACACCTGGTCTAGATCAGTGAACTGACAGATAAGAGTATAAGGGATAAAGCACATCCAGGCAGTTGTTATCACAGAATTAAGCCTGGCTTATGTGTTGCATAAGACTGAAGGCTTTTTTTTTGCTAAAACAATCCCCTTGATGTACTTTTATCCTATTTTTTTTTACATACTTGTCATGGCACTTTAAAATTAGTCACACGACCTGGTTCTAAGCCAAACTAGTTTAATCGTGTTTTAAAAAAAGACAAAGTTGACAGAAGCTAAAAAGGCTGAATGGAGCATACACTAATCTTTGTATTATTGATTCACGTGATGGCACCAAACTGTCAGAAATTGTGCCGTGACAGACAAGAATATTGATGTAAATGTGTTCACCGACAGTTGAGATGATTCAAAGTACCCAGATGAGTCTGCGTTATTGGTTTGAGGTTGTTATCTATGAATAACCTAACATGGAATGTTGTGACTGACCAAACAGAATCAAGTATTCAAGATATTTGTGTAATAAATATAAATTATTTAGGAATAGACTAACTAACGATCAAGATCAAGTACCTAGATTAACCTGTGATATTAGTTTCAGTGGTTACGTGGCTCTCTGTAATGTTTGATTCTGATTGTTCAGTCACAGCATTCCCATGTGTTACATCATAAATAACAACCGCTCCATTGAACCATTTTTTGTTTCTGTCAGCTCTGTTTAATAAAAGAATTACACATTCACAATTGTCACATTCATATAAGATGTTGTTTTCGCAGAATAAAGCAGATAAGCTTGTCTGTCTGTGAAAATAACCAGCTGGATGTACTTTATCCCGCTTATTACATGGCTACTTTTAACAAAATGTAAACTTTAGACATGGAACGTTGTCTGAGCTGTAATAGTTGATTAATTCTTAAGTCAAAGACAAAGCTGAGAGAATCAAAAGCGTCTGAATGGAGCATACACTAACCTACATTTTATTCAGTCACAAAAAGGTGCCAGCCGTCTAGAACTGTTATATCTAGTATTTTCACAGTTGAGTATTAGGGAAATCAGTGTAGTAATCTGCAATAACAACCTCCTGGATGTACTTTATCCCTTAAAGTATCACTAGAACTTTGTTGATTGCTAAAACCTCTTCAAACCCCAAAATATGTTGTGGCGTTCATGAAAGTACATTGAACCTTTACAGAACTTGACTCTGCTGGAAGCTGGATGTGCTAACATGAGGAAACAAGTGGAGAATGCTAAGCTTTTTGGAGTTCCAGTAGTGGTTGCTGTCAATGCTTTCAAGTAAGATTCCATCTAATAATTAAACATACAGTGTGTGATAGTTGACCATATGCATGGGTTTTTAGGGCTTTTTGAAATTTCAAGTGCAATGAGTTGGTTACAGCAGTATAGAATTGGCTAGATGCACAAGATGGTGCCAATGAGTTCCTATATTTTCAGTGGTACACGATATATTGGAATACAATTTATATGCAAATTGGTCATTTTTAAATGCTTTAGCCAAAGTCAGGCATCACAGTGGTTCAACATTATCACCTCCCAGAACTCTCTTGAGACTGTCTGCACTCCCAAATAGTTATGGCTGCTTTTATTACATTTGTCTTCATCTTCTGAAGTGCAACTAGTTTATTTTATAATAAAAAAGCCCACAGTGGCCTCTCCTACTCCAGAAAATTCCATTTTCTTTTTATTATCTGCTGCCAGGTTATCAGCAAGTGGGGATTTTGTTTCCTTCAATTCATTGGATGGAAACTGTGCTTTATTCATAAATGTTTTCTGCAATATTGCAATTTCATTCATACATTTGAGTGGTGTATTCAGATAGGGTAACACTTTATTATGATGGTCCATTTGAGTATTAGTAGACTGCTAAATATCTGCTGATACTGCTTCTAAACAGACATTTAACTGACTATAAGAAACTTTGCAATTACATGTACACTAACCCTAACCTCAATCCAACAGTCTACTTATAATCTGATGAGAATTAGTTGGCATGTAGACGCAATATTACTTAAAGGGCACCTATGGTGAAAAATCTACTTTTCAAGCTATTTGGACAAACATATGTGTATATATAGTGTATAGACCATCATATTGGGGTGATATAAACACACCCAGTCCTTTTTTTTTTCCAATTTAACAACATAAAAACAGTGGACCAATTAGAGCGGTTTTCAGACCGACTTTACGTAGGAGTGCGGTCCCCCCGCCCACCGAATTGATTGACAGCTGCGCGCATTAACATGTCCCGGTAGTCACGTGTATAATCATGTCAACAAGACCAGGCAGACATACGCAAAGCAACTGGGAATAAAAGGTCTGTTCTGTTCGCTAGGATCAGCAATCATCATCATATGTGATTTAAGAGTAAGTTTCACATGTTTAAAGTGTTTTAAAACAGAGTATGTGTGTAATTAATTACAGCGTTTTACTTCAGCTTTACTTCATCAGCACAGCCGCGTGTCAGAACAATTATAAAAGACGCTTCAATCCCGGTTTGTGGAAGTTAAATCAGGTTTATTTTGTACATTAGCATAATAGATATCCACACAGCAGTGGCGGTTAGCCTGTATCCTGTCACATTTGAGTGCAAAAACAGTGCTTAATGCGCTCTGTCTGTCTGCCTGCCTGCCTGCGTGCCTGCGTGCGTGCGTGTGTGTGTAAGTGTGTGTGTGTGTCAGCTGTGGTGTGCGTGTGTATCTCTGTATGTGTGTTTGTGTGTGTGTGTGTGTGTGTGTGTGTGTGTGTGTGTGTGTCAGCTGTGGTGTGCATGTGGATCTCTGTATGTGTGTGTGTTTGCGCGCGCAAACTTTGTAACGATATTGTGTGTGACTCATCAATGCAACTCCACAACAAATTCTTATTAGTAAAGATTAGTTCTTTCTGTAGTATTTCTCACAAACGCTACGTGAGACCTTCTTCCTTTCAGTCTGTCTGTTGTCTGACGCAGCCGAAAGAGGAGATTAAGGGCCCTATCATACACCCGGCGCAGTGTGGCGCAAGGCGTGGCGCAGTAGTCTTTTGGTAGTTTCAGCTTGGCACAAGAGTGGTTTTGAGGTGTTGCGCTTGTTTAAATAGCAAATGCATTAGCGCTCATTTGTGCGCCCATAGGCGTTCTGGTCTAAAAAGGAAGGCGTTCTGAGGCGGACCGCTGGCGCGTTGCTATTTTGAGAAACTATAATAGATTTAACATTAGACCAAAACAAACCCGGTTTAAACTCCAGCGCAGAGTTGCGCCTCGCTTACACACTGCTTAATACACACAAGAGAGCAATAGGCAAATATCTTTACATATGAAAAAATGTAAATATTAAGGATATATATAGGATATAATAAGAATAGATATAGAATATAAATATAAAGGATTAAAATATTACAAAACATATTTTCTAGCCTACATAAATATGAAAAATCACTGCTTTTATGTCTTCTTCATCTCGGGAGGCTTTTTCAGTTCATTCATAACAATTTGCTTTTGTATAATGTTATTATTATTAGCAGTATTATTTATTATATCTATATTTACATTTGTTTTATTAAAAACAAGCTTAGATTTGCCCACCTGTCAGGTTTTAGACCATATGGGGCACAGCATGTGTTTTAGGATATAACACATTTTGTTATTATTATTGTTCATTTATTCGTTTGCTGGAAATTAGAACTGAATTTAGAAATAGTTTTGAAACGAATATTTGCGCTTAAAAAACAAAATTAATTATTTATAGACTATTTGATGTCTGTGTGTAAAGGTTTCCCTATCTAAGAGCGAAAGTGAAAGTAGATCCATTATCTCTCATTCTCACGCAGTAGATGCTCTGTTTAACAGTTTTCTGTTAAACTGTGAACTGTTTGCTTGTGAAATGTTCAGTTTTTCCACTTAGACTTACTTTGCGTCCTGTAAATAGCGAATGCGCTCTTGGCGTGATGCAGCTGGCTCTTAAAGGGAATGGGAGATGAGACTCTGATTGGTTTATTCTCAAAACACACCTATAACTCATTAAGAAAATAAACTCAACCCTTTTAGACCATGCGCCACGGCGCAAAGCAGATTTCCCCGTCCTTAAATTAGAAAAAACGCGTTCTGACATGCCCTGAAAGCGTTTGCGCCCTGCGTTTTTCGCTCTGCGCATGGACCGTCAAAATAGAGCCCTAAAGCACACGGGAAGGCACGTAGAAACAGTAGGTGGGCAGAACTCGCCTTAAAGGTGCAGTACAACAAAACCACCCCCTGCTGGAAATGTGTATAAAACAGGATCTTGTAAAAGGTATAATGAAAAATTTGATGGGTGTTTTGAGCTGAAACTTCATATACACAATCTAGAGAAACAAAAGACTTATATTAAATCTGAAAAAAGGGGTAACCTAGGTGCTCTTTAAATTCAACAAATGAACTCAGATGGAACTCAGACGGAAAACAGCTATTGTAAACAACTGAGAGGCAAACATGCTGTTATCTATCTAAAATGATAAGACTATTAAACTATAGATGTGGACAAATTTGTTGGTACCCTTCCATTTGAAGAAAGAAAACCCACAGTGGTCACCAAAATGTCTTGGAATTCGAAAAAAAAATAATGATTAATCAAAACATTTAATGAAAATCCAATATTTTGGTTCAACTGAAGGGAAACTACTAAAACTAGCCTTGACCAAATTTAAGGGCACTAAAATTTTGTCCACGCCTCTTTACAGCATTTTCTGTTTTGTGCTAGACCCTGTAAATGAAGGTTTTGTATTGCTGATCTGCCATTCAAACTGAATCTTGCCATCTTGTGCAGGACAGACACACAGGCTGAGCTAAATCTGATCTGCAAGATGGCCAAAGAGGCAGGAGCGTTTGATGCCGTGCCCTGCTCTCACTGGGCTGATGGTGGCGCTGGTGCTGTAGATCTGGCTCGAGCTGTTCAAAGAGCTGCAGACCTGCCCAACAGCTTCCAATTTCTCTATGATGTTCAGGTAAAAATAAAGCAGAATGTTAGTACTGTTGCATTAAAACTTGCATTCATAATTGAGTCTGTTTAGCAACTTTGCCTGGTAGTCCATATTTTCTTTTCCACCCCGCTCTTTAGCACGATCGGGCATGGTGGGTAGAAAATGGGGCGGGGCGGGCAGCGGGACAACAAATGCTTAATATAGGCGGGAGCGGTCGGGTTCGGGCTAAAACCTGGCGGGAGCGGGATTCAAAATTTAGTCCCGCGCAGATCTCTAATTTGAATGTCTCTACAAAACTCCCCCCTGTTATTGCTTAGACAGGACACTCCTGCTGAAGGGCTTCAGAAATTGATGCTAACCTCATTTCTAAATGTAAATGTGATACTTTTATTCATAAATCAATTTTATGTGAAGCAATCTTAGTGTAAAAATAACAATCAGAAAATACACAGCAGGGAAAATAGGAATTGAAAGCATAATGTTTCTCAGAAAACAGGTCCTGTTCACTTAAAAATTTCACCAGATGTCAGTAACAACCCAAGTAATGCGTACATAGAAAGAAAACAAAGCTAGTTGGTTTCAAAATGTAGTTAATAAAATAAAATGATACAGGGGAGGAGTACTGAACTTTACTCTTGTCTTACAGTTACCAATAGCAGACAAGATCAGAATCATTGCGCAGAAGATCTATGGTGCAGATGACATTGAACTTCTCCCAGAGGCCCAACAAAAAGTGGAGCGGTACACCAAACAGGTATGAAAAGCAGCTCTTATTTGCGGGAATGAGGACCAAAAGACTTTAATTCTGTACGAAACTTTTATTTTTTATTCAGTTTCTTCTTTTAAAGCAGTTTTTAACACTGTTAAATCAAATACAGTGTTAAATAAATAGTAAAACCGTAATATAATTTATATCTGCAGTATGCTTTTTCTTATCTTGGAACCTGGGAAAATGGAGGAAATATATTTCTGAATTGTTTCAGAGAGAATGTCTGATTTTGTTGCAATAAATAGATGCTCAGTTAGTAGATAAATCTATGTATATTTGTGGTGTAGTGGATCACAAATCTCATCGTTCAGATCACGCTACAGTATATTGGCACTGGTGGGAGACGTACATTGACTCAAGGACGCAGGCCAAGTGTCTTACCAGTGATGAAACACGTTTGTATGAGGAACTACTTTCTTCCGCCACTCATTCACATCTACAGCAGAAAAAGTTGCTAATTCACCAACGTCACTACAGAGCTAGTGTTTGTATGATTCTCTTGCGTAATGTCTAAAATGATGACAAAACAGGTGATTTTGCTCACATTTTAAGTTTATAAGGCTGAATGCCTTGAAATGCCATCAGTCTACAAAGATTTTCCCAGTATTTCTCTGTTGCAATCAAAAAATCACAGTAATTAACCTTAAAGCCAAAACAAAGCAAACACTAGCAGATTACTATGGTATAAATACAGCACTACAACATACAAAACAGAGAGATCGACTTATGTCACTTACCTGTTCTATAATGATTTGATCAGCTGTAGTTTGAAATTTATGCTGAGTTTTTGTCTCGTAAGGTCTTATGCAGTCTCTGTCGCCATCTTGTGGAGGAACATCAACCATTAGATAGCCGGCAACACGCTGAATCTCCGTAGTCATATTTTGAAAACGGCACTATCCTTATAAATAAACTTTGTAGTTGCAGTCTAAAAATATAAAAAGCCTCAAAAGTAGATGATGTTGTCCAACAGCTGCAATATTTGTCAAACTATAGTGAGCTTAGTCTTCTGCTCATGTGGGCGTAGTAATATACAAGGGTGAAAAGGCTGTACGAGTGCTGATATTGCAGAATAGTCAATCAGCCAATCAGATCTGAGAATGCAATATATAAAGAGTTCTGTCTGGTTCTTAGATCTGATTAAATGACTAACTGCAAGGTTAAACAACTAGTGACAGAAAACATCTATATAAGAATCTAAGAAAGCACTTAGGCGTCTCCATAACTGCTTTCGTAATTATATTTTACAGGGATGACAAAAAGTGATATGAATGACGCGGAAAAACAATCTCTCTGCGCTCATAACAAATTTAGGATTTATTCACAAGAAAAAAAATTTCAAGTGCGTTCCGAACTGTGGGTTGTGATCAACCACATGGCCGCAGTGGGACTCTGGAGTTTCAAGCCTTAGACCGGCCCACCTCAGTCGACGACTGACTATATTAAAATAACGTCATTTCCAATTCAGTTTCTAATGACACTAACACGTCTTTTCAAGGACACAGCTGCTTTATAACTTCAAATGTGTTTCGTAAATATGAAATATGAGAACAATTATTCTTTATAGATATGCAGTCCTTTGTAACAGTCGTCACACAAAAAAAAATAAATAAATGTACCCCTACATAAGTAACCCAAACAGTATTATATGTCTTAACACTAAGAATAAAAAAAAAATTACTCTGGGGAGGTTTGAACTCGGATCACCGGCGTCGTAATGCAATGTGCTAACCACCAGACCAAGATGGCACTGTTAAAATGTAGTGTTCGGGATAAACAATAAGTGGTCACACTTTACAATAATGTTCATTAGTTAATGTTAATTAATGCATTTACTAACATGAACAAACAATCAAACAATGAACAATGCATTTACCACTGTATTTGTTCATATTAGTTAACGTTAGTTAATGAAAATACAGTAGTTCATTGTTAGTTCATGTTATCTCATGGTGCATTAACTAATGTTAACAAGCATGGACTTGAATGTTAATAATGCATTAGTAAATGTTCAATTATGATTAATAAATGCTGTACATGTGTTGTTCATGATTAGTTCATGTTAGTAAATGCATAAACTAATGAACCTTATTGTAAAGTGTTACCCAATAAGTATTACACGGTTATCTGCTGCTATTGATGTACAATCTTTTTCTCCCCTTTTTAGATTTTCTGATCAAGTTATGTCAGATTTATTAATGTAGTGAGTCATCTGATTTTCATTGAGCAGGTGTAATATTCATTAATGTTAATTAATATTCACTAAGGTGCCGCTGTTTGGGGTGGATTGATAGTTACATCATCATTAACCTGCTGGCTGCTGTTTGCTCATTGGGCTGCGAGAAAATAAATAAAAAGAGCGGAGCTGTGGCAAAATAATGAATAAAAAGAGTGAGGCTATGGTCAAATATATAAATGAATGAAAAAAGTGTGACTGCTGAGAGGGAAAGCAGGTAGGGACACCGGCCCTAACGGCCAAAAAACAGATCGGCCCACCGCAAATTCTCCCGGTTCTCTCGATTAGCCAATCCGGGCCTGATCAACCGTAATCTGTTACACCCCTAATGTATGTCATACTAATGGCGTGTGCACATGTACATAAATACTGTGTATACCTTTACAAATATATCTGAGATTATTCTGGAAGGAACTATATTAGGACTAAATGTAAACTGAAATTCTATGATTGTACGAAAAAGAAATGAGCCATTAAAGCTGGCATGCGCTAAACACAAACAAACAATTGCTGATGACCATGATTGGATGGTGGACATATTGTAGGACTCAGGGGTTGAGAGTATTTTGGGGAAAATGATCTCTTATAACATACTGTAGCATGAAGTAAGCGTAATGTTTAACAAACTGTTTTTGTCTCCCACAAGGGTTTTGCGGATCTGCCCATATGTATGGCCAAAACTCATCTGTCTCTCTCACACGATGCTGAAAAGAAAGGCGTTCCTACTGGATTCGTTCTTCCCATTCGTGACATTCGTGCTAGTGTTGGGGCAGGATTCCTCTACCCGCTTGTTGGCACTGTAAGTAGCGTAATACGAGCGTTCACATATTTATCTGCAATTTCTCTAAACTTTTGGGGCCTTTTCGCAAGGAGTCCCTCATAAATATAATTCTGTGATTTGTCAGTATTATAATTATGAGGGATCCTTGTAAAAATGTTCCAGGCCCCAAGCGTTTTAGATAATAATAGTTGTTTAATTAAAATACTGTGAAGTTTTAGTTAATTAAAACACTGTCTTCATTTGGTTCAAAAACACAGATATCTTTATAATTTAAATGGGCATCTTTGAATTTTTTTATCTACTAGAGCACAGGTGTCAAACTCAGTTCCAAAAGGGCCGCAGCTCTGCACAGTTTAGTTCCAACCCTAATTAAACACACCTGATCAAACTAATTGAGTCCTTCAGGCTTGTTTGAAACCTACAGGTAAGTGTGTTGGAGCAGGGTTGGAACTAAACTGTGCAGGGCTTCGGCCCTCCAGGAATTGAGTTTGACACCCCTGTACTAGAAATTCTGTTGTCCTAAAAAACAAAACAAACAAAGTAAATAAAAATAGTACACGTACCTTAGGAATAGGAATGGTATTAAAACCTTAAAAATGGTATTAAAACCTTGACTTTTCCAAACTGCGATATACCTTGAAAATGGTTATCATCCCATGCCTAATTCTGTGAAAACATGCTTAATGTGATTTGTTCAAAATGCATTCAATTTTTGCTCTCTACTTTGCTTTTTTTTTTAATTAAATATAAATGCAGATGCCGACTATTCCTGGTCTTCCTACTCGTCCATGCTTCTATGACATTGATCTGGATACTGAGAGTGGAGAGGTCATTGGACTTTTTTAAAAGAGGCCATTTTGTTGGGGTTGGTAAAAATCTGTATCATTAAACGAAACCCATTTTGTCCATAAGATACCTCTTTTAATACAGTTGTATTGAATTCACAAATCTATTTCATTTTCTTGTTTTAGAGTACAGATATGATGGTCCCTGCAGGATTCCCTCCATTATACTGAAGAGCTCTGTCTTCCTCTCGGATCTGAGATCATTGTTAATGTTGCAATAGAAGAGATGTCCATAATTGTCCTAATGTCATAATTTTTTACACTATTGATCTGTTACATTTGAAAAAATTTTCTAATAAATCCATTTGTGATGAAACGGGAAGAAACTGTCCTCCTGTTGATCCATATTTTTTTTTTCAAAGTACAATTGTACTGTTACTATGATTATAAATTGTCTTAACAAAATCTGACCGATTTGTGCCTGTCCAGGTTATAGATAAGTAAATTAAACATCATTGAAAATAAATTGACTACATATTGCAGTCATAGTTTAATTGTGCTGCATAATGAAAATATAGATACAGTGCATCCGGAAAGTATTCACAGCGCTTCACTTTTTCCACATTTCCAGTTTCAGGAGTTTTCTGTAGACCTCTGAGACAGGATTGTTAGGAATTCCTAACTAAAGACGGTGTGTTCATGACTCTTTGGAACATCTCGATTATTTGGATCAGCTGTGTTTGATTAGGGTTGGAGCAAAACTGTGTAGAGCTGCTGCCCTCCAGGAATTGAGATTAAGACGTATGATGTAGCAGGCCCATAGCCAGCCTGGTTTTTCCTGAGATTTAAATACTGCGTTTTAGTGACATTTTAAGCAGTACTTTTTTTTGCTGGAATAGCTAGTCAGATGTCATCATAACCACACTTTTTGATGTACTGTAAATGTGCAATAAAGAAATTAAAACAAGTCTAATTTTTAAAATACAAATTTATTAGATCATATATCATTAGGAAAAAAAAATGCAGCCTACTGTCATTTATTAAACAAAAAACAAACTGGCCAGCATATTCAACTCTCCTCAGTCACAATTTGGCCATTTTAATAAAAAATAATAATTAAAACATAATAATAATAATAATAATAACAACAATAATAATAAGCGGTTCATTCAAAAAAAATGAATTAATAAAAATAATATAATAATATTAAAACAATAATCATGAATTCTTCAGAATTTTTCTAGCCTCTTTGGTAAAAAAAAAAGTACATTTGAAAATTCCTGGATATCAACAACAGCCAAACAATATTCAAATTAATTTAATTTGGTCGCTTCTGGTGCTTCACACCTTTACATTGCACATTTTTAATTCGGAAATAAGGTCAAAGGTTTAGAATAAAGTTACCTGTAAAATGTTTTGCGTTCTCTGTTTAAAAACAAAACAGTAGTGAAAGAAGACTTTTACTACTGTCAATGGGATTCGAATTACTGGCCAGAGTTATTTAAAATGACTCTTTATTACAATATATATTAAATATTAATATGTTATATTAATTATATAAAAAATATTATATAATGTTAAATTACATAAAATAATTAAAAGGACAAATTCTGGACGGGCATGTGTAGATTCATTCACTCATTCGTTCATTTTCTTGTCGGCTTAGTCCCTTTATTAATCCGGGGTCGCAACAGCGGAATGAACCGCCAACTTATCCAGCAAGTTTTTACGCAGTGGATGCCCTTCCAGACGCAACCCATCTCTGGGAAACATCCACACACACACATTCACACACACACACTTATACACTACGGACAATTTAGCCTACCCAATTCACCTGTGGGGACTGTGGTGGAAACCGGAGCACCTGGAGGAAACCCACTCGGAGGCAGGGAGAACATGCAAACTCCACACAGAAACGTCAATTGAGCTGAGGTTCGAACCAGCGACCTTCTTGCTGTGAGGCGACAGCACTACCTACTGCGCCACTGCCAATGCTAACATAAGCCAGGAATTTAGTGCAAGTTGGTGCTGCTTTGCCTTTTGGCTAACGCAGTAAGTGACTGTAATCATCAATAATGTTACTTGTTGTCAGACCTGGAGTTTCAAGCCTTAGACCGGCCCACCTCAGGTCATGACTGACTAAATTAAAATAACGTCATTTCCAATTCAGTTTCTAATTATACGATCACGTCTTTTTCAAGAAAACAGCTGCTTTAGAACTTCAAATGTTTTTCATAAATTTTGTAGTTGCTAATTTTCCAACACTGTTCTTTAAAACAGGGGTCACCAATCCTGGTCCTGAAGGGCCGGTGTTCCTGCAGGGTTTAGCTCCAACTTGCCTTAACACACCTGCCTGGATGTTTCAAGTATACCCAGTGAGAGCTTGATTAGCTTGCAGGTGTGTTTGATTAGGGTTGGAGCTAAAATCTGAAGGACACCGGCCCTCAGGACCGAGATTAGTGACCCCTGCTTTAAAACATCACAATGTCCTTTCCTGCAATATCTGAATATATATTCTGTGCAAAATTCTTTATAGATATCCAGTCCTTTGTTACCGTGGTCACACTAAAATTAAAATGTATACACCTACATAAGTAAGCCAAACAGTATTATATGTCTTAACACTAAAAATGAGGGGGGGGGGAATTACTGAGGTGAGGTTCGAACTCGGGTCTGTGGCGTCATAATGCAACATGCTGACCACTCAACCAAAATGACACTATACATTTAATTGATGGTTTACGTCATGTCAATTGTGTTCATGTCAGATTTATCAACGTGAATCATCTGATTTTCATTGAGCAGGTGAAATATTATTTATATTTTTATTCAAATTCTTATATTTACTAAAGTGCTGCTGTTTGTGGTCGACTGCTACGTCATCAATAACCTGCAGGCTGCGTTTTGCTCACAGGGCTGCGAGAAAATACATTTTAAAAGAGCGGAGCTGTGGCAAAACAATGAATAAAAAGAGTGAGGTTATGGTCAAATAAATAAATGAATGAAAAAAGTGCGTCTGCCGAGAGTGCAAGCAGCTAGGGACACAACAAAATGCATCCTCATAATGGTTTTGGTCTTGACTAGTGCGGCTGAATGATATTTGTCCTGGGAGCACTGTACAAATATGGCGACAGTACTGATGCATGCTCGGGGTTCGTATGTGATATCTTGTGTATTTATCTATGGGGCGCCGCATAATTGCTTCACAGCACGAAGTTCGCTGGTTTGCGTCCCAGCTGCATGAAATGAACGGCACAATACGCTCTAAATGTAAAAACTGCCTTGGAGATCATGCAGCTTCATCAAAAAATTGTCCCATCTAGACTGTAAGCTGAGAAAATATGATATATATTTCCTTCTATGCTAATGAAGGACTACTGAGACATTCCAAGCATGGGATGGGTCCTCCTGGTGAGGCAGAGTTCCTCACAGCTCCGATACACATCTCTGCCATTTGCTTACAGTAACCATGTGCTCTTCACCATACACAATTCATCTGCTCGTGTTCTTCTTTCAGATAACTTTGTCATGTTTGGTGTCATTTGACAGTTTATGACTTCAGTGTTGTAGTGATGAAATCAACAGAGACATCGATTAATTGTGTTTCAATCTACAATATATTTACTATTGTTGGGTCATGGCCTGAGGAGAGTATGTTAATGTACTTCTCCCCCACTTCATCTCTTCAACTTTGTTCTCACGTTCAGCTGGTTTTGGGGGTTGGTTTTCACTTATGTTTGACAATGCTTTGCTCAGGGTATAATAGGGAAAGGTAACTGTTGATCGGGGAGAATGGCTTTTACTCTGCATCTCCCGCACACTGGTGCGTAGCCTCATATGCTAACAAAGGCAGTTTCACTGTCTTAGTTGCTCAGCAGTGCATACGTTACAGCTAATTTCTTTATACAGTATGTTAGTTTGTTTCATTCTAATGTTTGTATATTTAAACATGTAACTTAATAAACAACTTTGCCTGCTTTAAGACGTAGAGATTCTTTCTCTTTATCAATGATGATAACAACTTTAATGGAGTCAGATTAATTACAATGGAGTCAGATAAATAATGGATTTAAACACGCCATCCTTCAACTGCTTCCTGTTTCCGATTATTGGTTCAGAATAGCAGCGTAAGCTTCAAGCCTTACAAGACAAAAATACAAAAAAAATATATATATACAAAAAAAAAGGAGAAAAAAATAAAAAAAATTAAACATACAAGGAAGATGAGTTATCTTGAAGCTGGTAAAATAGTTGAAGAATTCCCTGCCTTTGAACTGAATAAGTCGAATTCTGCTGTAGTCACACCAAAGACACAAACAACAAGTTGTCAGACGGATCTAACTTGGTTATCCAAATTCAACTTCCCAAAAAACATAGAGTGTGTACATTCGAACTGGTCTGATTCAAGACTATCTAGAACAGAGAGAATCAAAAGTGAAGAAAACTTCAAGCACAGCAACACAGCAATCAAATCGAGATGAACGTGGATTATGCCATACGACCATACACCAACATCACAATTTTCAGGGTAGACTGGTCACAGGAGGTAGCATTTAGAAAGGGAAGAACGCATATTGAGAAACAGTCTGTGCTTTCCAGCTAGAAAATGTAATAGATTTTGCATGTAAAAGATTTTTCATGTGATTTTTCCTCAGACCCTGCTGAAAAATCTAGCTTAAACCAGCCTAGGCTGGTTGGCTGGTTTTAGCTGGTTGACCAGCCTGGTTTTAGAGGGGTTTTGGCCATTTCCAGGCTAGTTTCCAGCCTGGTCTTAGCTGGAAAATGACCAGCCAAATCCAGCTAAAACCAGCTTGACCAGCCAGCCTGGTTTAAGCTGGATATAGCTGGTTTTGGCTGGACTCCCAGCTTGGCTAGGCTGGTCAAGCTGGTTTTAGCTGGTCATCTCCCAACCTGACCAGCTAAGACCAGGCTGGAAATGGCTGGAAACCAGCCTGGAAGTGGCCAAAACCCCTCTAGAACCAGCCTGGTAGTCCAGCTTAAACCAGCCAACCAGCCTAGGCTGGTTTAAGCTGGATTTTTCAGCAGGGTTGAACGTCGATTTCCACTTCATTTAAAAACTGCAATTAAGACAATTGAATAATACAGTCATACACCATTACAAAAAGCTAAAATATCAGCCTTAAATTATAAATACTGTGAGTGGTAATGCTGTAATTTTTCTACACGAAAGAAATTAAAGAATGAAAGCTTTTCTGTATTAACAAATGAGTGATTTAGCACATGAGCTCTGAAGATTATTACCCTTGCAATCATCCATTTTTTATAACATTCAAGGTAATGGAGACAGAAGTATGCTTAATAAAACATGGCCTTGAAACTGATACGCTTTCTACAATTTCCATGGTGCTCAATAGTGTAGTTAGTTTTTATATATCTTTTTTTTTCTTAGAAATTCTTTGTATTATACAGTCTGTATCAGACAGTTCATGCAATAAGTAAAAAGTTTGCTTCATTGTCTTTCAGACTGCTCTCGGTTTAACAAGTTGAAGTATCAGCTATCTAAGATGTCTGACTTGCATTATAAATGACGTCATGTGACTTGCGTTCTCAACAGTATAGTAGGGGGAAAAAAACGCTGACTGTCATTGTGATGAGGACAGCGAGACTGAACCATGACGTTCATAGCGAAGACTTTTTATGATCTGCACGCAACTACTCTGGAAGGGGACACCATAGACTTTAATATTTACCGGGGAAGAGTGGTGCTAATTGAGAATGTGGCCTCGCTGTGAGGGACGACCACCCAGGACTACACGCAGCTTAATGAGCTCCAGAGCAGATATCCTCATCGGCTTGTAGTCCTGGGCTTTCCCTGCAACCAGTTTGGATACCAGGTTTGTAAATTAGGAATTTTTACCCACTTTTTGTGACTCTGGACCAATAACCCAATCAGTTATTTGGAAATTGAGATTTAGGCATCTGAAAGCTGAATAAATATAAAGAGTTAAAATGGAAATCTCTAAGTGTCATCTGAAATGAGCATTTTTCTCTGCCTCCTATGTTTATGTGCAGTTGTTTTACTTTAAATGCAATAAAAAGAACCAATTTGTTGCCATAAAAGTGGACTTACTGAACCCATACATAGGACCCTAAGGAAAATGCTCATGTCAGAATTCAATTCAATTCATCTTTGTTTCTATAGTGCTTTTACAATGTAGGTTGTGTCAAAGCAGCTTAAGATAGAAGTTATTAAGTAAATTGAAACTGTCAGTCCAGTCTTCAGAGTTGAAGTTCAGTTCAGAGTGGTTTAATTTTCATGGCTGAAAGTCCAAACACTTTAGAGCAAATCCAGCGATGCGCAGTCCCATACCAAGCAAGCCAGTGCTTCAGTTGGGCACGACCATCTCTCCTCTGGCCAAACTTCCTGTGCAGAGCTGCAGTCTAGGTGCTGGAGGCTGGAAAACTCTGGACATCCATCGTGGAGAAGCTGTAGGTGGGAGTAGGTCACCGGTGGGTGTTCAGGCTGGCCCACGGGATCAATGCGGAGACTCGTCTGTCATTCAGTCTCATGCTCTCAACGACCGCCATAGCATCTGCTCAGGATGCGGCCTGGTCTAGGATTATGGACACCTCGGGATTTTGAAAAACAGACTAACATAAGTGTAGATGCCGTTCAAATAATGTCTTTTGGGAAGTGTTCCTGAACAAGAAAATTTGAGATGACATTTAGAGTCTTTTTCATTAAAACTCTTTGCATATATATATATATATATATGTATTTATTTATTTATTTATACATATATATATATATTTATTTATAAATATTATAAATATTATTATATAAAAATACAGATTAGTTGTTCTGAGTTTAGAGTTTTGTTTTGAGTTTAGACTGAAGAGTATTCAAGGACGAGGGGGTTGCATGACTAAAGGCTTGTTTCACTATTTCAGTCCGAACCCAGGGAACAGTCAAATGATAAGATTCACTTGAACGTATAGGGCATACTGGCTTTTTGACTTATGAAGAAGGGAACTTGGGTATAAAGGCACCAGTCCCGGAAGAGCTTTATAGACCAGAGTCATCCAGTGAGTGTACCTTCTTACATACAGAGAAAACCACTCAGCTTTGGCCTAAAATTGACAATGGTGAGTAAGTCTCTGACAGCCTGTAACAAACCTCAGAGTGCTGGGATTGACGGAGTTTAAAGGCTGAAGACATTTGGTTGAAGCATTCATATATAAAACATGTCCATAGTCCATAAATGGTAAAAATGATGCAGACACCAAATGTTTACGACCTTTAAGAGAATAGCAGGATGCATTTCAATAGAAAACCCAAGCTTAACACAGGAGTTTGTGCAGAATTTGTGAAAATCGTTAATTTAGATTTGTCTACATTTATAACCAATTTAAGATCCTTAAGACGAGACTGAACAATATTAAAAGCACACTGTAAAAATTGTTTGCTGCAGACTGTAATGTGCTTTGCTTTGCTTCATCAAAGCTGTCCTATAACTATGGATAACTATTGTACAACCATTCTTTCTTAGGACAGGATCTTTGTTTCACATCAAAGGTTGACTGCCGTAATATTTGGCTGAGATCCAACTATTTCAAAATCTGTTATTTGAAAGTCTTTCACACTTAAAAGTTATAGATGATATATTCATATTTTTTTATTATTTTTTAAGATAAGTACCGGTTTAAGACTGGAAGGCCATCCGCTGCAAAAAAAAATAAAAAATAAGTATGGGATAGCGACAGTTAGGAACTTTCATGTCAAAATCAATGTTAAATACTTAGCAATGCATATGACTACTCAAAGAATTTATGTTTTAATATTTGATTTACAGTAAGAAATGTACAAGGTATAATCATGGAACAATATTTACTTAAAGGAATAGTTCATTGAAAAAAATTTACTCTGTCATCATTTACTCATGACAACATGACTTGTTTCAAACCAGTTTGAGTTTAAGGGTTTTGTCAAACACAAAAGAAGATATTTTGGAAAGTGTTGGAACCTTTGAGTTTCATGGTATTTGCTTTTCCTAATATGGAAGTCAAAAGTTTCAGAATATTGAAACTCATAAAGGTTTGGAACCACTCAAGGATGAGTAAATAGCGAGTCATTTTTAATTTTGGGGTGAACAATCTATTTAAAACTCTAATGATTTTTGGATTATAATAAAAATGAGACATTTTGACCCTCACAATGTATTTCTGCTGTTGCAAGGACTGGATTTGTGGTCCAGGGTCACATTTTCGGTGTTAGTGTATAGGGCTTTATATTTTTAAATATAATATTTAATGTTCTCTACTTTGTTCTTGTTGTTTTCCAGGAGAACTGCTCTGATGGAGAAATTCTTAATTCCTTAAAGTATGTTCGTCCAGGTGAAGGGTATAAGCCTTCGTTCACTATTTTTCAGAAGTGCGTTGTAAACGGGAGTGATGCGCATCCTGTCTTTTCCTACTTAAAAGACAAGCTCCCTTATCCAGACGATGACCCTGTGACTTTAATTCAAGACCCTAAATATCTAGTCTGGAATCCAGTCAGTCGAAATGATATTTCGTGGAATTTTGAAAAGTTTTTAATTGGGCCAGAAGGCGAGCCCTTCAAAAGATACAGTAAGAAGTTTCAAACGATCAATATTGAACCTGACATTCAAAGGCTACTGAAGCTGACCAAGAACTAATGGAAACATGTAGGCAATGATCACATTGACAATGGTTTTTATTATATAGGCTATATTATATTCCTTGTTAGCAGCTCTACGGCATCATCTCACTTTCTTTTTTATTACTTAATGAAAGTGACGCACCTAAATGTAACGGGGTTGCACCTGAGACTGTATATATTTAAGAATTTGGGATGATGCCATAAACAATCATCATGTAATAGAAAAACTTACTGAAATAAAAAGCGTCATCTGTCTCATCTACTGTACATTTCATTAATGTAACATCTGCATGTGTTCGCTGAAGTCCCAAAGCTTTATAAATGGCTTTATAACCTTTTCCAGACTGATAGATCTCCATTATTTTTTATTCTTAGTTGCTCTTGAAGCTTTCGAGGATCTATTGGTTTACTTCACTTTGTCAGGCAGGTCCTATTTAAGTGATTTCTTGATTGTGAACAGGTGTGCTTGACTGTATTTGAAGAGTTCAGATGCAAAAACCTCTATATGCCGTCTGAAAATTTCCTCTAAAAGGAGCATTTTTATCAGGCTCCAGGGGCGGACTGGCCATCTGGCAATTCTGGCAAATGCCAGAAGGGCCGGACCAATTTTTAAATGTGGGCCGGTCAGTTTTTTTTTTTTTTTAATGTATTGTTTTTACGTGGAGGCAGCTTTTATCTCTTGCTAGATGTGATATTATGATGATGATGATAATAATAATAATAATAATAATAGTAATAATAATAAATGTTAAGCATTTGGACCAATATGCGACGGCCGCCTGATTTCAAGATGGGCCGAGGTTACCGTATTCAAACCAATTACGTTACGTTAACAATTTTTAACATAATCAAAATCTGGCAAGAATGTCATATTACAGCCTGATCTCACGAGAAAACGTAAGTATTTTACGTTTTGCCAGTTTAGTGGCTAATTCGTACGAATTCGTACGAGTTCAGTCGTACGAAATGGTACGATTTTAAAAAGGAGGCGTGGCACCTGACCCCACCCCTAACCCCAACCGTCATTGGGGGACAAGCAAATCGTACTAAATTGTACGAATTAGATCGTACGAATTCATACGAATTAGCCACTAAATCAAAAAGTTAAGAATTGCCGTGAGATTGTGTTGATATTTTGGCAGAATTATCTTGTCAGATGGTCATTATAACCACACTTTTTGAAGTACCAAAATATTTCCTAAATATTTTAGAGGAACATAACAAATATTTATTTTTAAAATACAAATTTATTTACATTTAGACATTTAGTCATTTAGCAGACACTTTTATCCAAAGTGACTTACAAATGAGGACAAGGAAGCAATTTACACAACTATAAGAGCAACAATGAATAAGTGCTGCAGGCAAGTTTCAGGTGTGTAAAGTCTAAGGGCTCTATTTTGACGGTCCATGCGCAGAGCGCAAACGCTTTCAGGGCGTGTCAGGACGCGTTTTTGCTAATTTAAGGACGGGAAATCTGCCTTGCTCCGTGGCGCATGGTCTAAAAGGGTTGAGTTTATTTTCTTAATGAGTTATAGGTGTGTTTTGAGAATAAACCAATTAGAGTCTCATCTCCCATTCCCTTTAAGAGTCAGCTGTGGCGCGCCAAGAGCGCATTCGCTATTTACAGGACGCAAAGTAAGTCTAAGTGGAAAAAATGAGCATTTCACAAGCAAACAGTTAACAGGTCACAGTTTTTAACAGAAAACTGTTAAACAGAGCATCTACTGCTTGAGAATGAGAGATAATGGATCTACTTTCACTTTCACTCTTGGATAGGGAAACCTTTACGCACAGACATCAATTAGTCTATAAATAAATACTTTTGTTTGTTAAGCGCAAATATTCGTTTCAAAACTATTTCTAAATTCAGTTCTAATTTCCAGCAAACGAATAAATGAATAATAATAACAAAATGTGCTCAAAAACCTGAGTTATATCCTAAAACACATGCTGTGCCCCATATGGTCTAAAACCTGATAGGTGGGCAAATCTAAGCTTGTTTTTAATAAAACAAATATAAATATGGATATATTAAATAATACTGCTAATAATAATAACATTATACAAAAGCAAATTGTTATGAATGAACTGAAAAAGCCTCCCGAGATGAAGAAGACATAAAAGCAGTGATTTTTCATATTTATGTAGGCTAGAAAATAATATGTTTTGTAATATTTTAATCCTTTATATTTATATCCTATATCTATTCTTATTATATCCTTTATATATCCTTAATATTTACATTTTTTCATATGTAAAGATATTTGCCTATTGCTCTCTTGTGTGTATTAAGCAGTGCGTAAGCGAGGCGCAACTCTGCGCTGGAGTTTAGACCGGGTTAGTTTTGGTCTAATGAAAAATCTATTATAGTTTCTCAAAATAGCAACGCGCCAGCGGTCCGCCTCAGAACACCTTCCTTTTTAGACCAGAACGCCTATGGCCGCACAAATGAGCGCTAATGCATTTGCTATTTAAAGAGCGTAGCGCAACGCCTCAAAACCACTCTTGCGCCAAGCTGAAACTACCAAAAGACTACTGCGCCACGCCTTGCGCCACACTGCGCCGGGTGTATGATAGGGCCCTAAGAAGGAAAGCATTAGAATTTTTTTTCTTTTTTGAGTACAGTTAGTGGTATCGCCAGAGAGGCAATTGCAGATTAGGAAGGGAAGTGGAGACTAAATAGTTGAGTTTTTAGTCGTTTCTTGAAGACAGCGAGTGACTCTGCCGTTCTGATGCAGTTCGGGAGTTCATTCCACCAACTGGGCAGATTGAACGCGAGAGTTCAAGAAAATGATTTCTTCCCTCTTTGGGATGGAACCATGAAGCGATGTTCATTCACAGAACGCAAGTTTCTGGAGGGCACATAAATCTGCAGCAGTGAGAGCAGATAAGGAGCAAAGCCAGAAGTCGCTTTGTAGGCAAACATCAGAGCTTGGAATTTGATGCGAGCAGCAACTGGCAGCCAGTGCAAACGGATGAGCAGCGGAGTGACATGTGCTCTTTTAAAGACCACTCATGCTGCTGCGTTCTGAAGCATCTGAAGAGACTGCTATTCTGTTGGTCTCATTGCTAAAGTGCTTCTCTTGCTAACTAAACCTAGCGTGCTCAATATATAGTCTTTACACCCGAAACTGCGGCGGGGGACGCGAAACCGTCCACGCTCAACACACAAGCTCTTATAGTAACCAAGGAAACAGTGGGTAAACTTTTCTAGTACCATACACAGAGCTGAAAACAAGTTTAAATGTCCTACAACCTTACACAAACTGCAAACAAGTCTAAGTGTCCTCAAACCATACACAACAACTGAAAACAAGTCTAAATGTACTTACAAGCTGTTGGTCTCGTTGCTAAAGTGCTTCTCCTCCTCTTAAAATTTATTATATCATATATCATTAGAAAAAAAGTTTTAAATTAAAAACTGTAGCTTATTGCAATTTATTAGGCAAATAACAACCTGGCCAGCACATTCAACTTTCCTCAGTCAGAATTTGGCCATTTAAATAATAAAAAAAGAAAACATTATAGTAATAATTTAGAGTTTCACATTTGTTCTAGCCTCTCTTGTAAACAAAAAAAGTACATTTGAAAATTCATGGATAATAACAATAGCCAAAGGAGTATTTAAATTGATTTTAATATGGGCCGCTTCTGGTGCTTCACACTTTTTTATTGGTCATGTCTTTTTAAAGAATAAGGTCCAGGATTTAGAATAAAAGTTACTTGTCAAATGTTTTCCCTATTTAAAAACAATACAGTAAAGAAAGATGACTTCGCTTATGTCCGATGTTTTCTTGCACAGCTGGATGTTGGACACTTCACATCAGGATTCCGCTTAGTCTTAAAGTCTTCTTCGATGGGTTATTTTTACTTTTTATGTTGGCACAGCAGTCAAAATAAGACAAAATGAGCTCATGTATGGGACAAATTCTGGACGTTTGTCAGTTAGCGGTCTTCCGAACCACCCGAAACCCCCCCTGGCTACAGGCCTGGTATAGAATAAAAAATCATGGTGCAGTGGAAAAAGATTTAATATTGTGTGTGACTCCCATGAGCTAAGAGGACTGCATTTATACATCTCTGCAATGACTCAAATCACTTATTAATAAAGTCATCTGGAATGGCAAAGAAAGCCTTCTTGCAGGACTCCCAGAGTTCATCAAGAATCTTTGGATTCATCTTCAATGCCTCTTCCTTCATCTTACCCAAGACATGCTCAATAATGCTAATCTCTGGTGACTGGGCAGGCCAATTCTGGAGCACCTTGACCTCCTTTGCTCAAGTTTTCGTACACATAACTACAAAAAGAGTCAATCTTTAAATAGGAAAATGATCAAAACTCGTGTTTGCATGTTAAAAAAAGAAAAGTACTTGGCAAAGAGTAAATGAATGTGTATATAAAAAGTATAATCAAACCCAAATTCAACTCAAATGAACCCTGCTATATGTGTTGAGACTCGGGTGGGAAGAATAACAAGAATCAAATCTTCCCTTGCCAAGGTAAGTTTTTAGCTCTGCCAAAGAAGAATTGTCAGCAAGATAAGAACATACTGTAGAACTGATGATATAACAATGGCAGCATTTCACTGTTGTGTGTTGGTATCCTTTCTGTAGCTTTGGATAATCATTTTTTGAAAACATTACACGACCCACATAGCAAAATTTCTCTGGCCCAACTGTGGCCCACACATTCAGGTTTTGCTTGGCCCACATGCCGCAGTGAATTACGGTACATGACTGGACCAAATCTGGCTTCCAGACAAGGGCCAAACACGGACCATATCTGGGCCGAGTCTCAGCCAAGTTAATAACTCATAACTGGGCCTGAACTGGGCCAGATAGGTTGGTGTGTCACGATTGCAATTAAATTGATAAATCCATGGAGTGATGCGCTTTAGGCACACTATGGGCACGCTTTTTCTCAAAGTGACCTGATTGGTAGAATTTTTTTTCTTTACTCAAAAATGATTTTAGTGTATTTTAAATGTGGGTCAAGACTGGCCAAACTCACATGGCCCACTTATCAAATTTTTAAATCTGGGCCAAATACTACGTTTTTCATCTGGCCCAAATCTTGTGTGCCGCCTTAAAGACGGTGCCACCTCTGCCAAACCCGGGCCATGTTTGGCCCACATGCTGTATGCCAGTGCCGGATGAATGCCTGCTGTGCCAGCTTTATGCCAAATCTGGGCCAGAATTCTTTGCTACTAGGGGAATTAAACCTACAAGTTACAGTACAAGTAGGCTAGTAGTAGCTTCTGCAACTTCAATCCTATTTTGTATCAGACATTGTCTTAATATGATTCTTTATGTCAGTCAAATCTGTCAACTTC